TTCTTCCGCTCACAACTTCTGGGAAAGCAATGGGGTCAAGGTTCTTAGGTTCCTGCTGGAGTTTAACGGTGTCATTTACGTACACTATTTTAATGTAATCTGAGGCCAGTGATTTATATCTGCTAGGGTGGAATTACTACCAACGCCATCTATCATAGTTTTGCATTCTCTTATCATTGCCGTTGAAAAATTTGGGTGTGACGATAAAGCGACGTCGTAATCAACGCTGTCTAAAACATTCATTTCTGCTCTTTCTGTTACGATGACCCATATCGGACACTCTGCCACTGTATCCTGGACCATAATCAAAACCATCATCATTACACAACCTCTGTTTTCTTGCTGGACTAAGTTAAGCTGCGAAAACAAGTGTGAGATCTTCCACTCATTGCATTGACAGATTACTAGTAGGTTACAATAACTTAAGATGCTCGAACAGTGAACTTGAGTAGCCCTCGTCGAAGTATTCTATTTTTTGCCAAACGCACAGTTGACCAGTTCCCATGTCTTGGTTTTATCGACTCAGCTCGATCGCAGTCATTCAGGAAGGTGACAGTATGTCCACTTTTGACAGATCCAATTTGCATGGGTTTTAGCGGCACTGAGAAAGAGGGAGAAGGGGGAGAATAATGAAGCCGGGCATCAACTCCGACCCTTTTATCACTGCTCTCAGGCGGTAACGGGTAGGTGTGCCTTTTGATTCAGAATTAACCCTGCATTTATGTATCAAGGTCCAATGGGTGAGGAAAAAGTGTATCTATGTCCGATTTTGTTGCGCCTCTGGCGCGGCAATTGTATCGAAGTTATCTATGTCTCCTCCCTTCTCCCTAACCCCATCTCCGACTGACTCTTCGCAGCCTTTTCAGGCGAACAGTCAAGACAAACACACCTGCATATGGCATTGAGATGAGTGCAGGTGGTCAGTGTGTGGTAGAACGGTACTGCATTGTAACCATCTCATCCCACCGCCGCCAATGATGCTGATGCCTCCACGGGCGCGCTACTGTTACAGAATTTGTGCTCTCAAGAAGCCTAGCCACACACGTGCGTTATAAGTGCGGTGTCGCCTTTGGCTGCTGCCTCATGAAGCAGTGCCTCTAAAGAAATATTCGAATTTAGGCTCAAAACGAGCGTCCTCTCGGACTGCTCTCTTTTTGAGAGATGATGTGACTCAGATTCATCACCGCATTTTTAACAGGAATCATACTTCGAGGTTGATCTGGTATTTAGAATGACTTTAGTGTGTAATGTTCACTCATTAAGTGCTTTCTATCGAGTTTACTAAAATTCCTTTTGATTCCGTTATGTTTGCATTTGGTGGTTTTTACTCTTTATTCATGTTTCACGCTTGATTACGCGCTGCATAAGGAAAAAGCAGTGGATAGAATCCATCTACGGAAAAGAGTAAGCCCCACTCGGCCTTGACCACCGTGCATTCTGGCTGGCTAATTTTCAAAAGATGTCTTGATCTTTGGGTTTGATATATTTGCAACTTATAGACAATAGGCGAAAGTCCTAGTGAACCAGCACAGCAGCTTACGTGCGAATGTTGTTTATGGACAAAAACCCAGTTGTAGTCGGGATGGTCATGATGTGTCGTCACCCCTCTCCACCAATCATCGCATGCTCACACAATCTCGAATTGGCCGCCCACCGTCTGATTGGTTAATAGCTGTGCGGACGTAGTGCTTTTGTGCGCATGCACGTACGCTTACAGCCGCCAACCCGACATCAAGAATGAAAGACAACGTCACTTTACCGCCATCACGCAGCGACTCGTTCGCTCCCGCACACACACACGTACGCACGCTCATCAGCGTCCGCGTCGGCTGGGCTGTGCGCTCCCTCCATGCGCACGCGCACATACACAAAAACAACTACGACGCATCACACACGCACTGACGGTCTCTGCCTCTGTCCCTGCCGCCTCTGCCTCTCGACCGTCCTTCTGCAGCTGCAGTCTTACGCTGGCGCGTGGGCTTGCGTGTCTATATATGAGTGGGACAGCATCAACGAAGTATTCGAAAGTTTAGACACTGACTTCACGCAATGTCACCTTACTGGATTTTTATCACCTCAATAGTCCTTTACTCCTTCCGCCTTCTCCTAGTCCAATGTAAGTTACCACTCCTCTGTATCATTTCTTTGAATCATCCTTTTCCTTACTGGGCTGTTTTGACCGACCTGTAAAAGCGGGTGCTCTTTTGTTTGGACATGAAAGGGCATTATTTCCTCTTAACGACGACAGTAGCGATGTTTGCGGCTTCTTTGTCTTGACGAAGGTGTTCTGTTTCCTTTTTGGTCGAGGCAAACGGGTCTAGTTTTACCCATGTTTAAGTGACCTCCAATTCGTTTAGTTTCTATCTCACCAATTTCACTTTATTTAGTCCAGATGATCACACCTTTCGAGTAATCAAAAGTGCCTCTTCTCACACCACAGACTGAAGCCGAAGTCATTTCACGACGACTATTGCTGCCTAATGACTAACTTGAGGTCATTCTGTGAATTGTGAGTTAAATCACTTTCCTTTTCGCTATCCTCATCGGTTTTTGCATGTGTGCTTGTATGCAACACTTCCAACTCAGACCCTCCATATCAACTTTCCTTGTTTAACCAGATTCAAGGACAGGCTTGCGGCTGTAGCGGGGCCCATCTAGGGAGGACCTATCGCAAAAGTGCGATAACCAAATCAGCTTTAATATTTAAGATAATTAGAATTAACAGTCACGAAAATATGATGTGCTTTCAGAGAACATCACTCTGAGTGTAGTCATTCATAAATTGGCAGTGTAATCAGATCAGATTTGGAGAACTAGGTCACACTTTCAATAATTCATTATGGGCTCACATCCGACACTGTCAAATGGGTTGAAGCAAAATGATAAAAAATAATTGCTGACTACTCGGATGATAGCTAGTGGAGATGATGGTGGCGTTCTTTTCCACCTCAATTTTAGAACACAATTGGTTCTCCTTGTTCAAGTAAATGAGAGACCAGTTGATAGTCACGCAAAACGCTCAAGAGTAGGTTGTGAGGATTGAGACTATCCTCAACTCCATATTGATGGGCACCATTACTGTCACGTCGTGTACACTACTGGTTCATTTGAATAAACTACCTCTTACTATTTCGTTTACGCTTATCTTTCGAGAGGGCAGTGAATAAAGGTAAGTGTGATTAGGAGAATGTCTGATGGGTCGCATCAATCAACCGGGAGGAACAGTGGCCCTGCGTAGAGCGTCCTAGCCCGGTTCCTCTCCTTCCTCAGCTTTGAACCGTTAACGCGTATGTAAGATGGGCGGTCGAACGAAAGGCCGAGAAGCGTCGGAGGAGTCTGGGAACTGGGCCGTCTAAACTCCGCATTGTTCCTTATATATGCCCCACTTTCGTGGACAGACGGTCCACTCCCCAAATGAGACCGCGTGGATGCGTCCTTCCACCTCTTTCTGAGAAGTCATTTGTGTTTCATTCTTTCTGCTCCTTTTTTTTATCAAGAAATGACGTTCAACCCGTACAATTCATCTTATGCGTGTAGTGTGAAGCTTAAGGAAAATTGCCAGTTTGGTATCACGTCCGTTTGAGTCTGTGGAAGAGAGTCGAAGACAATGAGGTATTCCCTCCCACCAATACAGTGACGCCATCCAACTCTTCACAATTTGTGATCTATAAGCTCTCACTATCTCTTAGGCATAAAGGAAGATATGTGCATAAGTGCTTCTGCAATTCACTACTCTTTGTTTTACTTGGAATTGAACTTCAAAATGACTCACGCATTCTTCGCCCGGTGACGCTCAGAAACTCACATGTAGGGATCGCCGGTGAGATATAATTAAGAAGTCAGTTAATTGCATTTATGAATGCGTGGATATGTATGTGCAAATGCCATATGGGGACATGGGACGTATTTGCTCCTTCCACTGAGATGTGACTAGTTTCTACCTTCGCCACCTGTTTGTGCATCGGTCGTTGCCTCTGATGCCCCTGTTACCAATGCCCTGCAGGCGAATTTGCTACAGTGTTTGCACACACGCAAGCGGCAGGCACACTTTGCAGTGTGACAAGTGTGTGAGTGTGTGTACTAAATCGTCTCCAAACCACCACCGCCATCGCCTCCCCTTTTGCTTCGTTTCTGTGATTCATTCCTTGCGCTTGTTGGCGCAAGTTTTGAAATGGTACCATTGCCTTTCCAACTCTCGTGCTTCTCTCAGACCACTTTTTGCTTGTTATGGAAGCTCCACATTAATTTCTCCTCATTTTCCATCTTCCTTTATGGCACATTCAACTCACTGAACTTGAGTGCGGCTGCAACATCAGATTGTTAAATCCGCAATCTTCTGAAGATTAGGTGTTATGTGTGGAGAGAAATGGTTTCGGTGTTGTCTTCGGGTCTTCATTTGCGCAAGGGTGTGCACAAACTTCGGTGACACACAATTTATAATATGCAAGCATTACGATTTATGCGGCGACGCCACTATTTGTGTGCCGGTAGTGGTTTATATTTGCTTTGTTTAGATCAACTCATATCCTCCGCCACTACCTACCATTGTGATCATTGACTTTTGTCTTTACTATCAATCGTGTCATGTCGAATACGGGTTTCGGTCAACTTGAGTGCCGGCCAATGAAAGGCTCCTCCCAGTTCGGAGTAAACGCCACTTTGGTTGGGTCGCCATCAAAATCCAGTCCTCTTTCCGCGGACACAACTCTTTCTTCCTCTTAGCGGTTTAGCCGTTCCTCAACACTTTTATGGTTTACACTCTATTCATTCCGTACAAGTGGGTGGTGGGTCCTGGCCTCTTTCGGTACGCGAAGTACTTTCGACACCTAAACATTGACTCCAATAGGAGTGCCGCCATTTTAAACTACGATGTCGGAAAAAGCCAAAATGCCTTGACTCTGTACTTTCATTTCCCCATACACCCCCACAAAAACATGATGACGCACACTGCTGCTATTTGTCTTCTCACCCTCAAAGATGAATCTTTTGTTCATTAGCGAATGCTCATTGTCGTTTGCTTGTTAGACTTAACAGGTTTTTTCTAGTTTCACATCGATATATGATGACAGATTTGGGGCTCTCTTAGGATATGCACGATTTTGAAAGGTCAACAAAGGTAAACAACTGATAAAATCTCAACCATTTATAAGACCTACCTCCGTAATGTTGGGTCCATTAAAAGTTTAACAACGTACAAATTCGTCAAGCATGTTACAGTGGGTGTGAATGTAGAGCTAAAAGGCGTGAGGCGGCTATGTTTAAGGATTTTGCCAAAGGAAAAGTTGTTTCATAAATGCTGAAAGACAATGTTACACGTCATAGGGACAATTTCGTCTCCTTCATGGTGTTGTTAAAAGGTATTAATCAGCAGGATTGAAGTGTCGCCAAGATTCGGTAACAAATATTTAACGACTCCTCAGCTGAAGGCTTTGAGGAGTGTCTCCTATTTGCATTGGTAACATCGGTTACATTCTCTTCTGTAAAAGGCGCCTCAACGGACAGTTTCTACTTCACTCGGTCGCCACGGGATCAGGACGTGGAGGAGGGTCAGCCATTGAGATTAGAGTGTGCGGTGCAGCCGAATGAGGACATACACTATTCCTGGCTCCAAAACGGTGTTCGTATCGTCCCTGAGAGGCAAAGCGGTCGGCGCTACCTCGAGGGGGACTCTAATCTTCGCATCCTCCACTCTGACCGTGAAATCGACCCTGGACGCTACCAGTGTCAAGCGCTTAACAAGACTTCCAAGTTTTTTAGTGCTAGTCGTGAGGCGTCCATCAACGTCTACTGTAAGTTCAGTCTTAGCGTATATCTTTTAGGAGAAATATTGCCTCATTAAGTCTGGGTTTTGATAGATCAGGGGTCTCCCTCAAGATCACCAAAAACAGAGACAAAATGGCTTCTACTATTGCCTACTTCACATTTTCTTACTGTCGGAGCACACCGATGAAGTGTAGGTTAAACGAGGGCAAAGGGGATATTCATTGGCTCACCGTCATTTTCTACTCGTCTATCAGCAAACTTGAATAGTGTTTAGAAAATAGCAAATGTTGAATGCAAGAGCACTTGGGGAAAAAGCGTATATGGCTGCCACTCATTCCATCATCATGAAATGGGTGTACGTGGGTTGCTGATATGGGATTCTCCAACTGCGTAAAAAAGAGAAGCATCTATCTTTCGGTGTTGCAAGTTCAGAGCGGCCCTCCTCATCACCGCGGCGGCTAAATGTGAGGGAAGAAGGTCCGCATTGTTGCAAGATTAATAGTACCTTTTCTCTCGGAGCCGCTTGTGCCCTTACGTGGGGATGCCAACCGAATGTCACACCCCATCGTTTCTGCACGCAGTACACTACGAAGGTAGTGGCAGAGGCAGCAGAAGAAACAACAGCAGCAAGAGGCGGCGGCGGTAGCGTTTCGTGTGATTAATTTATTTCAGCTCCAGTCCCAATGCATGCGCACACACTGGCCAGCCATCGCGTGCGCTTGCGCGTGCACGCTCGTTTGTTCTTTGAAGCAGACGCTGGCGTGCCTGCGTGGGTGCGTGCCCTTGTGTTTGCGATGATAGATGAACTGAACAGCTCGCATTTTTGTTCAAGAGTCAGTGCGTGTGTGCGTGTGTTTGATGGTTTCGGGGTGCAGTGAGAGAGGCAGGGGTAGAGAGGAAAGGGAAGAGGCAGGAAGGAGGGTGGGAGGGCGCGATTGCGACCTTTGTTGGGACCGAAAACAGACGTCGGATGATTAATCGCACATGCATGCACACATACGCACGGACACAGTACGCAGATACGTACACATTTATAGTAAGATACATGGACGAGGTCAGAAATCCCCTCCACCTATTTGTCTGCCTACTTTTCCGACATGTTAGTTGATTTACTGGGACTGGTTGCCCGCACCTTAGCATTTAAAACGGCCTTAAACAAGAAAAGTAGCCTCACGAATCGGAACATTAGAAATGTCTAAAATATCGGAATTAGTTCTCAGAAATACTCACTTTGTTTTCTGGAGAACGCAAGTTTTTCAAATCTGGGTCCACCATTAGCGGTAGAAGAAGATGCGTTTTGATGAGTGCACTTGCGTTATCACAGTTGAAACTGGTTTCCAACTCTTAAGTTCTGCCTTGCAGAAGCGGTTGAGAATCCTTCCGCTAGTCGTCTGCACAAAGATGATATTTTCCTGTATCTTTCACATGCCATATTGTACAGAAACCGGATAAGTGACTGCAAAGAATCAACTTATTTTTCCTGAGGTAAGGAACATGTTGAGGGTTTTAAAGCTGTCTAAATTTTCTGACCCTAAGGTGGGGCTGTCGTTAGCTCTGTGGCTTTGGGGCCTAATAGTCAGCTTTTGTCCTTGATTTGGAGGGATGGAGCCAGAGATCGAGGTGAGGTTGATACGACCCGGTCGTCTAGAGGATATTAGACTGGGCGAACTGGTGGAATTGGCCTGCGATGTTCAGGCGCACCCTCCCGCAAAGATGAACAACATATTCTGGTTTCACAATGGTAATGGAAGGCTGCCCAACATGCGGACCCTGCCCAACGGTAATCTTCTAATTGACGCCTTCGGCATGCAACATGCAGGCAGTTTCCACTGTCGTGTCATCCATGCTGCGGGAAAGGTGGACAGTCGACCTCCCTTTGTCATTCAAATGATAGGTAGGTGGTTTTAAAACACTAGTAGTCTTGTATTAACGAAAAAGTAGTGAGATTTAATCATCCTGGAGTTGCCTGTAAACAGCACTTTCGTGTCGACCGAAGTCAGCTTAGTTAATGCCCAAATAATACTGGACTAAATCCAAATTTCTTTTAAAATTACTAAACGCCTAACACCACTCTCATCAAGGTCGAAAGGTAAAGCTGACCGTTTCAGCCGCCCGACCCCTTCACTGTTCCAGTAAAGTAGCACACGTCTTCGTGTTTTGTTGGATTTATTGCCATCGTAAGAGGCACTTAGAAAGTATAATCATTCCCGGTTCAAGGACTGAAGTTCCATACCTACTGTCTTGCCGTAGAGTGAACTAAAGTATCCGTGACAGCATTTGACGCGATCGGTTAGCTTGAATTAATAGAGTATGCTGCTGGCTCAGGCAAGAAAATTGGGGCGTCACATGCATATGTTAAAAGGTAAGTTTGCTTCCCGACTAGACTAAAAATAGACGCAATTAGAGTTAACTAATGGGGTTTTGGAACAGACGTCCGTAACTCACTTTGTTCCCACCTCGGCAATAACATTCGTGCCTGGTTGAACGCACGTGGAAGGATAGTAGCGTTATCCCGAATTACTCAGTTTTGTGGAGCGCAAGCGCTGTTCCTCCCACAATACTTTGTTTTGATCAAATCTGTCTGTTTATTAATTCACGTAGAGGAATTTGGGAGTTCTTCTTGCCCAGGTACTGATCAGCCTCCAAGGTGGCGAAATTTTTGCAACATTTATTGATAACCCGTTTGTTTCTGAAAGTGCTGTAGTGTGCGCGTCTTTAAGTGGCTACATTACCAAGCCACAGAAGATCCCATCAAACTATTAGCACCGAATATGTATGAGGAGAACTTCCTACCTTCAGCAAGGGCGTTGAGTTGTGAAGCACGCCAAGCAAATTTAATTCATAAAACATTCCATAGCGAAGCAAAATTACGGACCCATGTGAGTGTTAATTCGTTGAAATTTTGCAGAAGAGTAAGCATATCCTTGCCATATGCATCCGTTCACCTTGAATTTTAAGCAATGCTGACCAAGGGAGTGGTTCCTGTGTCTAAGCCACCTTAGAACAGCCTCCTCTTCATGGTCGACCAAAAGCGCGAGTGATGACTCCTTGGGCTCCTGGTGCACTGCGATCGCTCATGATTGCAAAGCATTTGCGAATTGTCGTTTTTTTTTTCGCCTTATGCAGTATCACTGCAGGCTATGCGCTCATTAGACGTTCTTGAGTATTCGCTCTGTGCCTTGTCTGCTGTTTCATGGGAACGACTCCCGTACTCCGTACGGACAACAGAAACTTCACAAAGGTTTGTCACTGGATAGCTGTATGGCCTGTCGTCTTTAAGAGGACTACACGTTTTGAATGCCTTATTAGTGAGCTTGTTAACATCTTCATGTCTTTGGAATGCTTGTTTTTCGGTCAAAACACACAATAAGCCTCATTCACAATCCTTCACACGCCGTTCAATTCATGCATTCGCAACCCATTTCCTACCATCCTCACTAAGGGTGTTCTGGATTGGCTCATATCATATAAGGGTTAGTGGTAATGGGAAAGTGCTTCCTTCTTGTAGGCACTCCCCATTATCCTCACAATAAAGTACTCATTAAACCTTTGCATAGTAATTCTATGATGTGATGACACCGCTCCACCTAGTCTTGCCTCCATCTTGGCTATAGGTGAAGATTCACCAAGAGTGAACGCAAGTGTGTCAGGCAAGGCCTTCTTAAAGTACGCATTGGCGGAATTGTCGATGGAGCTGGTGTGCCCGCGTCCACCAGCGGCTCCAGAAGATGGTCCAGTGATAGTGGTTTGGGGCTTTATGACACGGTTGGGCGAACAGCAGCAACCCATCACCTCCCTACCCTCTGTGAGACTGATGGGTGAAGCTGACTCCATTCTTAACATCGACCGTTTCAAGCCTGTCCATGCCAACTTCTATACCTGTGAGGTCAATGCCCCTGCCACCTCCGAGCGCTACTTCTACGTCTTTCAGGTCTATCTGGCGGGTAAGAAATCATCCATCTTCTCACTACCCCAACGTTTAACTTGAAATCGGTTGTCTATCAATTTTGAGTGCGTGGATTGATTCATCAAGCCGAAATATTCAACCACACAGGTTCCATCCTTTTGTTCTGCTCACTTTAAATTTACTCATCCCTTCAATTACCTTAGTTTAGCTGTGGAGGTAAAAATGATTTCGGAAGTCATTCGGTGGATATTTGGCACACCTTTAGGTGTCCACATTTTTCTTTGCAAGACAACCTCACATTACGTCCTTTGTATTAGTCTTAATTGCCACTGCTTGGTCAAGCCTTAAGATTCAGGCTTCATCTACAGGACAGGCATGAAAGTGAAGTAATTCAATTTATTTTTAGGATAAACTTTGCTATTGTTTGAAATGTTAAAGAAGTTCGTTTGGGCCATGGAGCCGTTTATTCATGCCAACTGGGTTGCTTGGGACGAAACCCTAGCAACTTTAACGTTTCTTTACGTCCATATTATGTGAATCTACTTTTTTGCAAGTCATTTATTTTACCACCTACGCATAATTTTGTTTATCTTTTACTAACATAATTTTCACTGCTTTTTTGCGTGTTTCGAAATTTGCTTGCAAGCAGATTTGTTGGAATTCTTAGACTCGTTAAGCAGACTCGGATGTTTTTTACAATCGAAATACTAATTCGAATATTTTGAGCTAAGCATTCAATGACACAGACATCGGACTGAGGTGATGTTGAAGAGGGATCGGTGCCTCATACATTTTTGCCAAGGTAACATGTAGCATGGATGCTGAGAAAAGCCACCTTGTAAAGACCTTTGGAGGTACAACGTAGCCTTAACAGCCTTTCTTCATTCCACATAGGCAGAGACTTTTGGGCATTACTTAACAATTGTATTTTAAGGCAATCACTTTTGCCTCGAAACCCACAATTGGTTGCCACTTTTGGAAGGTAAATGAGCGCCCCGTTGTTTTCTCCATTGATTGATAAAGCTGATTTGGCTTTTGTTGCTCTCTTCATGCAGAACTTTTCACCCCAAAACCCTCTAATTTTGCACCCCGTCCACGAAAAAATCAGCCGCTGGCAATTCGCCTGGGTGAAAAACTAGAACTTCGATACTACGAGGATCTGACTCCTTCACAGTCCTACACCGCTGAGAACATTTCCAACCCCCCTCCTCGAATTGAGTGAGTTAACCTGTTTACAGAAAGGCGTCGCGGCTTGTGTATCAGCTGCCTCACTTCCACCAAGGTTGGAACTAAAGCTCACGTAAATAGGAACAACAAATCGTTGTTTGCCGATTCCTCTTTAACATGGCTGGGAATGAGGTGTATGGACGTAGAAGAATTACCCATTACACGTGTTCTCAGCGTCGTTTATGTGCAAAAGGTTAGCAGAATAAATTTTCCCGATGTGTGAAGAGTGTGGATGAAGTGAGGTTTTGCAGCCTCCTGGTGGGGTTCAATCCGTCTTGCAGTTATTCATGCCTCTAGAGGCTATGGCTGCTTGTGCGTGAGTTCGAAGGCAAAAGGAAGGTGGCCTTGTTAAGCACAACTACCTTCCACTGGTTTAAACTCATTATTTATTTGCTATTTCCATAAATTATGCTGAAGAGTAAAGCGGAACAAAGAATTAGAGTTGTCATCCTTCACACTAACCTCCGACTACACTACCTACATAAATGGTAATTCCGATCAGTAATCCCTGCTTCCCGGATGAGGTTCGTGATTTGCCAAAGACACGATTCGCCCTGACGACGAGTCAGCTTTTTGCTGAAGTGAAACGGTTTTATTCATTGGTAGAAGGTGCTAACTATGAGCTGTCATTGAAATTTTGCCATGTGTAATCGCTAGTGAACAAATGCATAAAGGTTTATTCTCAGTCGCCAATACTGCTAGCTACGTTTTCCTATTCAGATGGTTCCGGCTGTCATCAGGCCATCAGGAGCCCACTAGAATACCTCCGGCATCCAACACTCACGCGGAGGCAAATATGCGAGTTTATGTGAAGAATGGACGGCACTTAGTGATTAAAGATGCCAGTGAAGGGGACAGCGATGCCTATGAAATGGTCCTCTCCAGTATCGCTGGTCGTGTCTCTGTACCCTTCCAGATTATGGTTTCTTGTGAGTAAACCGCTGTAGCTGTACATTGGTACAAGCAAAATGGATTGTCCTCACCTTTTTCTAATTTAGTTCCTCCTGAATTCGAGCCGGCGAAAGAGTCACAAACCTTAGACGAGGGTGAGCCTCTCATGCTTAGTTGCCATATTCGACGACGCTCTATTCCCGGTAGTCGGATTTATTGGGAAAAGGACGGTCGACCCCTAGTCAACTACGGAAATGTACGTTCTCGCCTATTGCGCAGCTGCTTTCTTCCATTTTCTGGAAATAAGACTAATGACCATGAAGCCAGAAGCAGCAGTAGTAACGGTATTTACGGGCCACCTGTTTGTTACATTGTTATTGCTACCATTAGTCACGTCCTCTCTAGCAGAAAGATTTTACTTTTTTCCGTCTCTAAACGTAGACACATTTGGCATTCCACTCTCCTCCTTGTTCTTTGAGTGTGTTTTCACCCTTGATTCCATCTGCCGCTGTGTTAGCAAGGGAACACACACAGTGCTAGTTAAAAGCAAGTGATTTTGTGCCTGTTATTTCCATCCTTTTGCTTGATTAAGTTATTCAAAATAGGGGGCAAGGACATTCAATTGAGGCTTCATACATCAAATAATATTACTAATTTTTGGACCTGGTAATTTCAGGACATTTTGGCGGAGGGTGATGGAGAGCGTCTGCGCCTACCACATGTGACCGTGGATCATCAGGGACGCTATCAGTGTTTCGTTATCACCGACGGATACCCCAGGAAGTTTCCAGGTCAGATGCAACATATAGAGGTTCGCGGTCAGCTGCAATTCGTTCGCGAAATCAGGGAGCACTTCCTCGAGGTGAATGTTCAAGGGAAGCTAACATGCAAGGTGCGTGGTTACGGCAAACTCAATGTTGACTGGTTCCGCAAAACCATCAACGGCCTTGAGCCTATCCAGAAACCCAATCAAGTCGAGAACGGCGTGCTCATTTTTCAGTATGTTCAAAAGCAGGATGCTGGAGATTATGTTTGCGTGGCCAGATCAAATTACAGAGACGGAGAGATCCAAATGAACGTCAAGGTTATCGTTGGAGGTAGAATTATTTTCTAGGAACAAAGTCTAGGTTAAACCTCAACCAGAAGAGCTTGTGTTTTTGTTCCTGCTTTTAGAGAAACCACGGATATCTGACATCAGTACAAATCAAACCATTCAGGAGGGAAGTCGTCTAGTACTGAATTGTAAGGCGTCCGGGGATCCACGGCCACAGATAAGCTGGATTGTCAAGAGACCGAACATTCGGGATCCCTTCATATACTCTGCACTTATGTCGGGTCAGCCAAACACAGAGAGTATTTTGGAGAATGTTTTTGACCCCGGACGAGCAGGAGTCGAGGATGCAGGAAGTTCCTTGATCAATCCTGGACCCCTCGATGATCGTATCCAAGTTCTTCCAAATGGAAGCCTTGTAATAAACCAAGTTTTGTTGAAGGATGAGGCTGAGTACATCTGCATTGCTGGCAATAAACATGCAATTCAGACTCGTCAGGGTGTTCACGTCAGTGTCCTCAGTGAGTTAAAAGCACTACAATCGTAATAAATCTAGCACTTTTAGACACTATTCAAAGTTAACCTCACCATCTTTCTTTTAAGCTCCTCATGAATATGCCAAGCTGGAACATGGAGAAGAGACATTGAGCCCAGGGATGGCGAGGACGATCGTAATTGTCGTAAACTGTGCGATTGCCTATCTAGGCTTGATTTTTGGGCTTACAGTGTACTGCAGTGTTCGATATTTCAAAAATCGGCGTCACCGCGCTCAAAATGGTAAGCTGTGGTCTTTTGTTCTGTAATTCCAATAACATGTGAAACATTAATCACGTTACTCTTGATGGTTTCATAGCCAAGGCGCCGGAGTCCGGTCATTTAATAGCTCAGGGTGGACCCTCCCTGACTCAGGACAACAACTGCGTGCTCCTCCTTAACGACGAAATGATGACAACAGGCTCACGAGCTCCCACAGGCTCACCCAACGATACCTCCGCCACGGATTTGGGGGTAATGCAGAACTTTGGTAACTACCGCAATAATGGCAACACCAAGACCTACTCACCTGCTAACAACTATGTAATGGGTAATGACGGACCACCGCCACCTTCGCGTCAGCTCTTTCCTCCCACTACCGGAAGTGGAGGTGGCGGGGGAGGAGGTGGAGCCAATGGGACCGTGTACCCCGTTAGTGTAACCAGCACAACCACGGGAGAATCCTGCGGTTCCCGAATGGTCGCTGCGCCACCCCCGACCCCACTTGATTCGCGGTCGCATCGTAGCGGCCTTTCCTCATCTGGCAACTCAGCCAGCGCATACTCACGGTCGCTCATCAGCGGCGCCTCAAACAGCACTGGTCCTCCACCTCCGTCATTTACCAGCGGTGGGGGTGGTGGTGCCTATGCAGTCCATGGAAGTGGTGGTGGTGTTGGCGGAAGCATTGTGCTCAATGGCGGTGCTCTCGGTGGTCAATACCACCACCCCTCTGAAATGATGGGTGCCTACAATCACTGAATTGAGCAAATGCGAGAGAGCAGTGATGCAAGAACGATATCGAGAAGAACAACAATTGTCTATCGGGTAGGTCACTTTTCCTTCTTTTAGCCCTTATTTATGGGGAGAGCCGGTATTTGGGGCGGTGTTTATGTCTGTAGAAAGAGTCAGCTCAGATAATCCTATTGGTTTTCGGATAGGAACCTTCCTCTAGTTACAAGACCCTGTCGCAAACATTATTTATATTGTTTCTAGTGTTTTGTGGTCGGATACTCAACGCTGCTTAAGGGATACGCGTGATTATTATTTTAATTGGTTGATATAGAAATATGAAAGCTACGCATTGATTAGATAAGAAGTCGCGATTCTGGGGGTTTTCAGTGCTGAACATTAGAGTTAAGCACTAGCACTTTAAATTTGTAAGTTACTTTGAATTGAATCAAGGAATTCTATTCTCTAATCACAGAGGAGCCCATTTTATAGGTCTTAAGAGAAGCAATTGATTAAAAGATTTAATCATTTTCAAGACTGAGCAATACTTACAGTTGCTAATTATCAAGTTAGCTGGAGCAAGGGTTACCTGATGGCATCTGTATTTATGGCATTGAGATATTTTTTCTGGTGGAATTAATGACGAAGTATGTTTTGTGGCAAAGATTGCAGAAACCAGACTACTGAAGTGGTAATAAATTGGGGTCCCAGTGACAGAGATTAATCATTTGCATAGCATCTGCGTGAGGGAGGTGAAGGTGCAGCGCCTATCATCATTCATCTGATAGCACCTGTGGTGGACCCGTTGGGTATGGCGCTCACAAACCATTTGTCTAGACGTGCGCGCACAAAGGCCATTAATCATTATTCGAAGGCGGAACAAACGGCTTGTTGCCACTGCGACATGCGCGCACACACAGAAAGTTCTATTGCTCCAGGACCGCCATCTAGTGAGGTCTGAATGGTGCTCTTCCATTATAGATTGCCAGTTTGCCTCCCTCTCCTCTGTTTCTGCCGTTCCCGTTGCCGCGTCGACAATTCTCCCTTTCCTGGCCCTAATTGTTCCTCCTTCTCTCCTTGACCCTCTTCAACCTCCGCGATAGAAAAATGACCACAAACGTCACTCTTCTTGATCAGATTGTATCGGCTCTAAATGAGACGCTAAACCTTTTGAACAAGGTGTCATATTCCCCATCTTTCTCCACCTTTAAGAGTCGGTAAGCCACACCATGTTCTACTCCGTTGCTGAAATTTTCCATTCACAAACTATCTGCTTCAGTCGTACAGCAACGACTGTCTCCTTCCCAATTCTTCCCACCATCATCTTCATGATCTTTCTAAGTTCATCGACTAGTCAGTTTTTTCCCTTCACTGAGACGAACGAGGAGGGAGAATTGGGGCGGGAACACAAAGTGGTGCGATTTTAATAATTTTAAGTATATATATTGACATGAACGATGTGTTTTTAATCACATGCAAACACTGACACACTGCATTCTAAGATGCCACTAAAGAGGTGGTGATCATCTGCAAATAAAACAGCGTACCATAATCGCTTTCCTATTGAGTCTTCTTTCATTATGGATGTATGAGGACGCATAAGTTAAGATTTAAGGTACCGATATTGCGTCAGTCAGAAGTGGCTCTAGAAATTCTGTAGATGTCATGATCCAGCTTGGGAGGCGACGTGTGCTAGTGGTCACCGTGTGATAATGGTGCTAGGCCATTCAGTAGTGACTTGACGCCTGCAGACCTAACTGCTGCTCCCGCAACCACTTTGCTCCTGAGACGTGAGTGATGCATGAGATACGTTTTTTACATCACGCACGGTATATAATACAGTTATTCAGAAGTATCGGGAACTGGAAAGTTTGGGCATTTCAGAAGCCAAGGTGGGCTGGGTCAGCTGAGCAGTTTTGACAGGTCTTTAAGAGCTAGACTCGTATTGTGGGAACCGTATGAAGAGAAGAGGCGGAGTGGACACCTATAGTGGATCCTTTTGCAAACTAGGGAAGTTTGGCTTTATTGAGCATACTATATGCATTTGGCTCTGACAGTTTGCCACTTTCTCATAAGCTGTCGCGACTGTAATGGTCACGATTGACTTGAATGAAGCAGGTCATTGTGAACGCCATTACGTTTTATTGTTGGGCTTAGAGCCATGCTGTGTATGTTCTAGTGGGGGGTGGGAGGTGAGTCCATTTAAAGATAGCATGAACGCATGAGGTAAGTATGGAGCACGCCCGAAAGACAGTCCTGAATGCGAAGCAGTTGAGCCGGCTATCGAATTTGCATAATTGAAGAGGCATTATTACATCGTTGCTGGGCTCCGAATTTGGAGTTTTGCTTCCTTCAGGAGCAGCAATGAGGGAGGCAGAGTTCGTAGATCGACAGGAAAGTGCTTTAATAGTTACAAGAAGTACAGCCTAAAGCCAGTCATTCAATGTAGAATGAGGGCTAAAAATGGTTTTTATTGTTTCGTGTTCGAATGCATCACCACTGAGCAAGTGTTTTCTCGAATTCTAAATAGTTAGTTTGAGTAACTGACACATTCGGTTAGGGAGATTTAACAGCTCTGTAAGGAAGTTCTTTGAGTGGTTTATGGCTTTCCTACAGATTAAAAGTTTGGGGCAGTTAATAAAGGTGGACACCCCCAATCTTCCTATTGGAGGTCGTTGCTGATACTCTCGGTCACGTTGTATACCCTTTTCTCATCAGGTTAAGGTTTGGGACTGCAATGGAAAGCTGAGTAGATTATTCCTTAAGATCCTCTGATGAACAGTGAACACGTAGCACGCATCGCACATGGAGTTGGTCGCATTTGTTAGTGCCATGTGTCATGTCGTGTGTCCACATAACTGTCATACAACCTTCTAGCACGGTGGAGCTATGGTGAGTAATGATTGCATTGCATTACAGAAGACTCTCATGAAGAGTTCTGCTGTGCAGACCTCTGTTGACCGAGAATGCATATTCAGTACTCCATACCGAATTCGTAAGTTCTGGAGTGTAAAGAATAATTAGCATTTAACTTATTAAAAAATGTACTCATTCACCGAGTGAGATTTAAAATGTGAGCCGGCATAAACAAATGATGCTTGCATGTGTTTAAGGCACTTAGAATCCGAATGTTTTGTGAGGAATTAGTGGAGCGAGTGGTTGGGCAACAAAATTGATAGATGTCGACAGTAAAGGTGAGAGATCAAAAAGTCACTGACCGTAACACTCATCACTCTCCAACTGTCGGATGAAGAAGGCAATCAACATCTGATGGAAGCAATTTGACCCACATTCGATCTACCTCAATACTGCCTTTTGAAGGCATCTATTTCTCCTCTCCTTAATGGGGATTTAACTTCCATCAGTCACGAATAATGGCATCCGATGTTCTGCGGTGCTGATTGCGAGTAAAGGAACTCTTAATGCCTGCTTTATGAGGCCATTTAGCCCCTAAATGTCCAGTTACTCCAAATTTTAATGGACTAAAATTCAGACTTTTCAAATAGTAACAAAGTTTAACATTTATATGAGAAGAGCTGTAGTGAGAAAGTGATAGAGATTTCGCACTTATTAAAAGATGCAAACGGTATTTGACATTGGCGCGATACGATGGTGAAAGGTCACCGTAGCGAATTTGTCTACTTCCCGTTTAATTGGTGATCCGCTGTATCGATGAGGCCAAAAAAATGTTTTCAACTGATAACGGATGTTGTTTTACAAGGCGATTTTAATCCTTCCTCAGTCATTTTTCCTTTTCAGCACTAATGTTCGAAATGCGGTTACCATTATTAGTCTGTTTGATCAGCGTATCCACACGACTGTCACTACCGGGTCACTACCGCATTTAAGTTGCACACAAAAGACTGATTCCGTTCTTTAATTGAATGGTTTCATGATTGGCTTTGTGTTCTGCCCTCGTGGTACATTGTTAATCCTGTGGGGTGAATTTGTGTCTTAACTTTGATTACTGTACGAGCAACTACACTAATTGTGTCTGATTGCCATTTGGTTCGACAGTCTGTCTCCTCTGATGGCTTTGCCGTCCTCTCGTCTGACTGCCGAGGATTACAAGGTGGCGGCAGAGAAAGCTGAACAAACTGTCTCTCGAATTTTCCATAATCAACTAAAGGACAGAAATTGGCTCAACTCAATGGAAGCAAACTACTGTTTGAAGCTCACAGCTTGAGATTGGGGGAATGAAAAGTCTGTTAGCGTAATTGTTACCTTTTCATCATTTATAAAACACATCTATTCGTCTCCACGCCAGTATCAAAACTTCCTTTTTATCAATTATTAGCTGAAAGTAATTTCCAACCTGGTTTTGCCTCGTTATGGGATTAAGTTTAGCACGACAAAGCCTTTCTAAATCATGAGCTTTAAAGGCGTATGCAGTTGGATTTACACAAGTGAGTGCACCTGGATGAGGTGCCCTTGTCGCCTGTAAATGACAATGAATTTTGCATTTTGATGAATCGTGTCCTCTCTAGGTGTGGAGGTCAACAATGCATCCACGCGACTGATATCTTGTTTACTATTGCCAAGCGAAGGTGACTCCTGTTAGCAGAGATTGTTACCATCACTTTCACACTAAGCCCCACATAAACTCTAACCGTATGCTCATTTGTACAATGTCTCCTCTCGGAAGGAGGTGTCATAATGATTAATTTGGTAAAATCGTTCTACTATAATGATTATTTACTGAGTTTGTTGACAGTGGATACGATTTGGTAAGTTCCCAATCTCTTAACAATGTTCTTCACTGATGTGTCATCTCCCTGAGACCGATAAAGACATTGTGCCTTTCCAATAGAGACCTCCCTAGGAGGAATTAAAGTGTTCACTTTGATAATTGTTCACCAAAACTTTCATGCATTAAAGCATCTAATGGTGATACTGTAATATTAATCCACCTCGCTTAAGGTTATGAACAAACAATGCACACAATAGTGCTATCCTGAGTGGATAATGTTTTATTTGGTGCTCACTTCCGTGGTCGGCGCATTTGTCGTGCCGAGACTAGTGAGTTCATGGTGTTATCTTAGAAAATTAGATCCAACACTTAGACGCTCAACGCTTAAAGTATTTTGCTTTAACTCAAAATCATATTTCCCGCAAGTCATAGAAGCAATCTGAGAAGACCTTTACGTCTACTGGCATCATCAAACCTTTACCAAATATGAGTTTATAATGTGAGGGAAGTAGTACAGGGCGTGCTGGAGACTGGAGGATGTCTATCTACCATACAGGGATGGGTGGTGATAAATAACGGCCAGTATTTAGCGAGTCTCGGCTTGTGATAACAACTGCCACTGCGTTGTGGTAGATCAGGAACCCTCAATAAGCGGTGTAAGTGGTCGTGATAGCAAAAGCGTTCAAAGTGCTACCATCACCTTACCGACTATAAATGCATCAAATTTATGTTTTCAGTTTCTTGAAAAATAAAATTGGATTAATTTCTTCAACATATTTGTGCACCCCTTCTGACGCTTAATCACCACCCTCAAAGCTTCGATGCAGAAGATCCTGCCAGTGCTGTGCCACCCAGTAAAAGCAAATTTCAAATTCTTGGGAGTAGCTGGCAAAGAGAATGTGCTGAGGCAAAGTTGCAGCAAAGCTGCTGCAAAGGCCGACGGCTGCGGAACCGACAGGACAAAAGATACGTTTCATTTTACTGAATAGGCTTTCCACAGCACACGAGTTTATGAAGCTTTTAACTGAGCTAATGTTTTGCGAAATGGGAAATCGAAGAGGAGCGCTTACACTCGCTCCCACTTTTTGGAGTCTGCATCCACTCTCTTTCATACCTTTTAAAACCGGAATGCGGTGTCAAAAGTTCAACAGTTTCGTAACCCCTAAGCCTTGATCTCTTAATCTTGAACGTCGATTTGGTCCAAACTTGCGTCCGCTCTCTTGACCAGGAAGAGCTTCATACCCATTGACAACTTTTACACACCTTTTCTAATGACCATTTGCTTAAGGAGGGCGAACTTATTCGTGTGAGGTGCTTTCATTTTTTTTAGTTAATTACAGTCGTTACCTTCTTGATGCACCTGCCAAGCACAGGCAATTTAACCCAAAAGGATGTACTTTTGAAACACTTTAACCGATACCCACCAAGCCATTTTAAAATGGAAAGAACAAATGCACTATTTCGCTCAAACTACAAAACAAAGGCGTTACGCTTCTGAAGTTGAACAGCGACCCCGATTGTGAAGAAGACTGTTCTCATGGCGCGACTATTGTCTCGCTCTTCCCCTTCCTCTCTCTTTCTTGGTGCAATTTTATTACCCGTTTTGGCCGTTGACACAAAGGGCTACATTAGAGAAAGGGGTTGGCGTCCCTACAGGTGGCCCTGTTTAGACTAGGAGTGATGATTGTAGCGACGTTCTAACGGCCCTTCTTCCCCTTGTCTGCACCAGGTCGTTTCTTAGTGCGTACTTCTACAATCTGCTGTGACTGCTTCTTCATTGCGTTTCGGCTCAGTGCTCCGTCGTCATCATCATCGTAAAACACGCCATCATTGTCTACAAGGGCAATAAGAAGCTTTTATGGAAAAATTACACTCAATTTGAAACGCTACTTGCAAAATAATTCTTAAAAAATATACGGTCCTAAACACAGTCATCTTTACCCATAGCTTGATCAGCAGTGAAGGAGGAGATGGTATATGAATGAAATAATAATGGCACGGGCTGGGAGCTGCATCATCATCGTAAGGCCATAATCGCAGCTGATCGAAAATGTTTGTGTAGTTGAGCATCCATTTAGTCAAAACAATCGTTCCACAAAGCTATCGCCTTCTAAACCTCCTCATCGACACGTATTGGGACACTGTTTAACAATGAAAATAGCAGAACTTTGCGCCAAATCGGTTGTCCATTCAATGGCAGTTCGAAGGTCTGATTTAGCAAAACTAAGACCGACTCCTTTGAAAAAATCAAAATTTCGATATGTATTCCTAACAAAGGGAACGGGTGTAGCCCAGGGATGCGAACGAAGACTATCCGAAGATCATAGCTTTTCTTAAAAAATGAAATTGTTTTCGTTTAGCAATCGACCATTATTACCAGAATCGGGTGATTGGACAAAGTTAACAAAAAATACTTAGAGGCTTCGCCAATGTACCGCCCCTTAGGAGGTCAGTTTCACGGGTCATGGCAATATCAAATGGCTGAGAATTAAAATGCTATGTTTTTTCAAACTAATTAGTTCAAATCTACAAATTACAAGCTGACTGTAAAATGCGTTTGTCCCAAGACGACGCTGAATGCCCTATTCTACGATGCTGGAAAGTACGGTGAAATCTACATTGTACGTCGATATCGCGCATTTTCATTGGGTCGTTTTAGTTGATGCCCCCACTTTTTAGTTCATAATTGTTTATTACCAAGCGATCAATGCCTTTAGCCCATCGGCAACATGACACCAAAATTGCAAACATAATGGTAAGTATTTTTTGAAGGATGAGAGGAGAGAGCGTTTGACAGGAGTAACTCCATTAATATTGGTAAAGTTTTGTTTAAGAATGTGCTTTCGTATGTTACTAAACTTCGTAACCTACAGACGGACATGACCGCTTATGGTCTCGATGCCTCACACTGTCCAATAGATGCTTCTTCAAACTGTTAAATCTTGCCTTTGACAATCAAGCGCACAACACCAAATCAAATTCTTGTCCTCACAATCCAAAACACTTATATTTGCATGAATAGTCTGTAATTCTTAATTGTTTACTATGTGGCCAATTGATGGATGGAGACGGACAAGTTTGAATCGTCAAACGCAAGGAAATTAGTCCAAAAATCAAAGATATTTTAATACTATTCGTCTAATGACCTCAGTGCCTCTTTTCCTCGACTCAACGTGAAGGGCGTGAATTTGTCGCAACTATATTGCGCTGTTGATTAAGGTCGATTCAATGAAAATGCAAAATATCGAAGGAAGCGTAGGAGAATAGACAACTTTAAACAGAGAATAGGTAAAAGGGCCAACCTTCACCAGATCCGTTGTCCATGTCCTGAGAGATCGGCACTCGCATATTGAATTCTGGTATTTTGGCTCCCGTAGTTGCAAAGAACTAAAAGTTCGTGCATAGCTGAGGTAATAAAGCAGCACTTGCCTAAGAAACATAGGCTGTGAACTTAAAAAACAAAAAATATACTGCTGATGGAATTTTGAGTAGGATGTGAGTTTTGAAAAACGGCATAAACCGCAGAATGAAGCTCACCTCGCTTGTGCTAAGTATTGTTCGCCTCTAAAAAATTTTTAGACAGAATCAGATTAAAAAATGATTCAGGAGAAATGGTACCAATATGTCTCTTTCTCATCCTTTTATCGGGCTTTAACATACAATAAGAGCAGCAAACGGACATACGGTCACACGACTTGGATAAAATGACAACATCGCACGACGCTTTTGCGTCTTGATGATTTAGGAGACAAGTGTACTTGAACAATTGCGGGTCGATAGATATGCATAATAATCGGCTGACAGTCATAGTGTTTGAAACCGAAGAAAAAAATAGCCGGTCAACAATTGTAAAGAAATAATCGTATTCATTGACCATATCTGTAAAACGATTAGGCAGTGTAAAAAATGAAGAGGCTCCGAATCCACTGGAGCAAGACCTACTGCAGCCTCCCGGATTCTGTCATTCTTCGAGTCGTAGTCATCACGTTTCATTGACTCGATGAGACCCTTCACTTTCTCCGAGCAGAGGCTGATAAGTGCGATTGTTTCGTCAGGTCGGTCCGAGTCCCTCATCATCTCCACCTCGCCCACACCGCCTTCGGTCGATTTCACAAGTGGAGCGTCCGTACTCTCAGCTGGTGGTATATCCGTATCCAACTCTGGAATGGACACATCCACGTCCTCCAACTTTTCGCAAATATGCATCATTCCAGCTTTGCAGTGAACTGTGAGACTGCTCAGATTGTCTAGTTGTTGCTGAAGCGCATCGCGCTCCGCCACAGCCTCTTTTACCTTCTCTTCGTACTCCTTTACTAATTTTTGGTTACTAGAAAGTGAGGTTATTGCTAAACAATTATTAATAAAATAAAGTAAATGTGTACTTAATGCATCGTTACAACTTGCCTCTCTAATTCGGACTCTCCTGTGTATTTAAGGTCATCCAGCTCCATTTTTAAATTCTTGAATTGACTTTGAAGTTCAGCAATTAATGCCTCATCCTCATTTTTCAGAGTGTCCAGATGTTCCATAATTTCAAGCTGTGATTCAAATCGGGCCACCATCTTAACCACATCTTGTACGCCTGTGACATCGCGAATCTTGCGATACATATCTTCGTACATTTTGATTTTTTGTAGTTGTTCCTCCTTTGGACCAAAGGCACCATAGGGTGAGTCACTGTGACCATCCTCCGAGGAAGAAACAGTCATCTAAAATCCGTAAACATTAAAACATACAGAAACCTATTAAAATGAAAAGCAAATGCACCTCTATCGAAGAAGTAGTAAGATACTGAAAACGACAGCTCAGTCACTCATTCTAGACATTTACCATGAACAAAGAAGTGTCGGAGACTACCAAAACATTGCTAACATTATATAACGAAAATGATATCAACACAACGTATAAATAAAAATCGAGGCATATAATACTGCTTCAGGAAATCATACCAATTTTTTATCACTAAAGTCAGCTTCATTTCGATTGTCTTCAGCAACCTTTCTTAAAGCAGATATTTCAATGTCTCGCCGCCTCCGGTTGTTTTTATTTTCTTCCTCCCTAAATCTCAACTCCTTTAGTGCGGAGTCTTTGGCAAGTATGGCATCATAGTGCATTCTTTGTAGCCTTTCCAATTCCCTTTTGGAATCTTTGAGTTGATTTTCGAGATTTTCAAGACAAACAGGAAAGGTAAATTGTTCCTAGGTGCATCAAGGTTTCCTTTTTATTCATACCTCTTCTAACTTCTCCTTGATTTGCTTGTATGCGCGGTAGATGTGATCAGCTTCTTCACATTTTAGCTTTGCTTTGTCAAGTCGATTATCCAGATCTCTTAAAACCTTTCCCAGACTCCCAATATTGAGGACGTTGTCAAGTTGGATTTTGGCGTCATAGGTCTCGCAATATTTGCGCTTTAGCTGATTAAGATTCTCGATTTTCTTGTTGGTCTGATGCCTCAGCGCATTTAATCTCTTCATTGCATCACATGTATGGTAATCCATAGTATCAAGAGCTTCCTTAACTTAAAGTGTTCACTTATATTTAGCATACAGTACTGGATTTGTTACTAAGCATGGCTCGTTCTTCTGGTTTAGTCTGAAACACCTGATTGATAATGTGTTCGTCGGCCTGCCAAAATTAAGCTTCATTAAACTTTTCTACCGCAAGTTTTTCGCGAAGTTTGTTTCGAAGATTTGCATTTTCAAGTCGAATTTCAATTACTTTCTTTTTACCATCAGTTAGAGCTTGTAAAGCGCTTTCATAATATGCCTTCCGATCGCCCTCTTGGAACATATATAAGGGACATTTTACCAAGTAAATTGAGTTTTGCTTTTATCTCATCAATTTTTAGGTTCGTAGCATGTAGCATATACTTCGGATCGGCCACGATAGTATTCATTCCTGCCACAATTAAAATAAGCGCTTAAGTTGGGCGTCTAGGCAACTGGTTTTCATTCACCACGTCTCAAGGATAAATGGAAAAATAGTGCGTCAAGTACTATGCTCGTCATTTTGGGTAGCATATAATTTCGATTAGCGAATTATCACCCCAAAACTCAGAAAAACTACTACGGTTGATTTTGTAAAATTAATTTCCTTAGTTACAGATTGAGGTACATATGTTCATGGCAAACACGAACGCTACGCTCAACATTCTGCGTGTTAAATTGTTAAATTAAGTTCGAAATTTGTTTAGTGTCCCTATAATCCTGGACTTAAGAGAGCTTTAATGGCGAGGTCGCATTAGGTCATCTCGCCCGATCATGACTTTACATAAGTGAGCTTCCTTTGCAAAATCTGCTGGCTTGGCAGCTACGTAACCTCCCTCCCACTGGGCATGATAGTCATGCCAAACTATTTATAACTTGCTAGTTCTGACATTACGCGAATCCAAATGCAAAACTTTGATGGCCCAATCCCGCTTATTCAAGCTGACTCAACCAAAGACACCTACATGCCAATACTTTAGACCCTCTATTAATGAACGTTAATCAGCGTTAAGAGCCAACGGCCCATTATGAAATGACTCCGCTCAAGGACGCAACATTCTGCATTTGTCCATGCTATCTCTCATACTAAGTTTCCCGTGTGAATTTAGTGAAACACGGATGAAGTAAAGAGAACAACGCACACGAGCGGCGAAAACAAGGCCGAATCTTTTGTAAATGATAAAAAGTACCCTAGGCAGAAGGAGTCCAAATAAAAGCACGAGAAGAGCGCCACACACGTCGGAAAGAAGGGAATAGGACTGAATCAAGCCCTGTGGGACAGGAATACTACGTAACTGCACATTGGGTCAGTGTGTAAGTGCACAGGGAAGTGGCGAGGTCAAGCCAAATGAGAAGTAATATTAATAGTTAAGGTGTGTATGCATGTGCATGGGAGGGTGTGAATATACATGGAGGCTAGAGGGCTGGAGAAGGTAAAGCCGACGTGAGGGGTTCAGGTCGAGGTTGGCACTTCCTCAGTTGGGGTGGTGGGATTGTTTAGGTTAGGCAGCATGTCGTTGTCCAGCTGCAATAAAAGAGGGCACAAATACCTTTTTGACACTCAAACCAACTAAAATTTAACGGCCATTTGATCAACCTCATCTGCTAGACATTGATAAGTCAAAAACAATGAGATAAATTCTAGAAGAAAAAGGAAATAATGTAAAGATTTATTTCAATATGCAGAGCCCAGCATACAGCCAACATAAATGCTAATGTATTAATAATGCAAACATGGGCCGATGGCCCGAGTTGCCCGAAAAAGTGATAGACGCTGGAGCAAAATCACGAAAGACTAGAGATTTGCATGCTGCAGTGGATATCTAAAACAACCGTTAGCCTAAAGAGAATGTTTGATCGGTTTTCACCTCATCCCTGATCCTCTCGGTTTTAGGCTTCCTTACATTGGTACAACTGCCATGCTACTTGCTCACCATGCGTTAAGCATGCTCATATATTTGGCAAGCGATATAGAAGCTGATCAAATAAGGAGCGAATTCGTGGGTTCCGCGTATACTGATTCGAGCATTTATGGGAAAAAAAGTAGTCTGAACACTCTTGTGGGAAAATTAGCAACTTGAACATTCTAGCGGTTTCATCTTCACTCCAAATATATCTCACCATCACTTGCGGTAGACCCTTCACACAATTACTATTGCACAAATTCCAGGACGGCAAACGTGCATATTGTCTGAGTGTCCAAGGCTAAGGCGTTCACGTGGTTGCTCACACACGAAATTTCGATTAATCAAAAGAAGGCGCAACTCAAGCTCCGTAAGACCAATGCACAGAAGAATAGGGTATTTCGAAGATTTAGTCAAAAATAAAACGACAGTGATCGGGCATCCCTTCTGGGTCTGAGGAAAGTAGTGATGAAGCATAGACCGACTGCTGATTCATTAACTTATTCATCTATTTTGATTATGGGTCTAATGCGTGTGCAAGACAAGGAATCGATTAGGTGGTAAACGTAGCTCCATCAATGGAGACGTTAAACCGTTTTAATTGAGGAGGAATGCGATGATTTGAACCAGAGATGTCAAACTCGGAGTGAAACATTAACTTGTTTACTAAGTAAAACGATGGGATACTGCAGTTAACAAACTGTCGATATCAAGGTTGTGCATTCATCAGAGGATGGTAGCCCGTTTTGAAATGCACAATCACAAAGGATTTGGAAGAGACCTGTTTGGTTCAGGTTTAGCACACTACTACCAGTAAAAAAAGATCAGAATATGGTTAACTGACAGACTTCCTCCTTACTCCATGACAGTAGATACAACTAAGGTGCGGATAAACATTTAAACAGTCAGGTGAAGTTTCCGAGCTAAATAGAAAAAAAAATAGGTAAAATTATGGAATTATACAATGGACCCACTTCAATTTGCTTCAGGTCTACCTAAGAAAAGTAGACAATATTAAATGGGCATGACGATAAGATAACGGATAACGGATATGACTGGAGGATTTGTGCAGAACCTAATGCCACTCAGCCACCCTGGTTATATGTCAAACACACGACCCGACTGATGGGCAGCATTAATCTTCTTTCATCTGACCAATGCGTCCTCTTTTTTAGAAATATTTTAGTAAGAAAATGTATGCTCATGCGCCACAGATATGGTTTCCCGAAAGAAAAACGATCTACTTCGATAAAAGGCTTCTACATCACTCTGACGACTTTCCTTCTCCTTTTAAGAGAACATCAAACTTAACAACAAATAGAATTTTCCATCCAAAGACAGCACACGTAGGACTGAACGAAGTTCCTGATTTACTCACATACAATGGAACAGTAAAATAAAGAGTTTTTGTGCCCAATCACAGCTTTCACTCCCAACGCCTTGAAAGGACTGCCATGGTAGGCTTTTGAATGTCAAGGGCAGATTCGAGAGCTCCCACTACTTCCGGAGTTAAGTCCCAAAAGCACTTCCCTTTAAAACCATCTGCCTTGGAAAAGGTTTAAAAAGTAAAGAGAAATTGACAAATGGAAGCATGCCTATCCGGTACAAGACTCATGTGAACAACACAGTGAAGCATTTGGCCGAAAATAAAGAAGATAGTGGACTTATTGATGGTGTGAGAAATTAAAGCAAGGTAATACCTGAAGTACATCGCTACAAATAAGTACAACTAATGCAAAATTCACCTCAACAAACGATTTGGATTCTATCAAACAAGTCAAAAATTACGTAGTTAAGGTTGTAGTGGCAACCAAAAAATACTAATAGATTATCTTAGTGGAAAACAAGAGGAAACGAATTTTGTATGATAAAAATGCCGTCCTTTCACCTTCCTCCCCCAACTATGATGACAAAAGAATGAGCTCAGGCCAAAGTCAGTAGTTAAACTGATAACTGATCCATCAGTTGTAGTTCGCGTAACCAACTTAGACATACACGCATACACTTGCCACTCTTGCATTAATAGTGCGTTATAATGGTATTTGCTTGAGCTAAACGTATATGAATAGGCTTTTCGACCTCTGGCGATTTCGGTCATCATCGCAATGAGGTAGAGTTATTACAGGTCCATAACTTTTCTTTGCATATTTATAAAACTTCAGTCAAAAGCACAGCTTTGATAATGTAGCCAGTGAGAGAGCACATTAAAACAAATGAAATCATCTGACAAAACGTGATGCACAGAAGTAAACTTACAGTGTGGAAGAGAGCAAGCACCTTATCACGGAAGCAGGGAGAGTCGAGTGGTGGCGTCGGCCGATGAGTCGACCGCGGTGAGGATGTCATCGGTACATGAGGCTGGTGGTGATGACTGTTAGAAGCGTTGGCCGATGCAGAGGGAGTGATAGCCTCTTCCCCCACGTCACTTACAGAAGTACCACCAGGAGCGGAAGTGGACAGCTGAAGGTTTAGTGGTATGGGTTCTGTTGCTCCTTCGGGTTCACCAAAGGACTATGAGAGAAGAAGAGTAGTTATTGGAAAGTGATGAGCATCGATAAGAAAAAATGAGTAATTGAAACAATCCTCAAGCATGCTCCTTGAGTGTTACATTAGTGAAAGGTGCGATGTCTCAAACAGTATTCTCGGGTTACGGTGTTGTCGTGCAGACACGTGCAAAGGGCAGAGAGGACACATCTTTGTGATACTCTATCCATTGTTGATTGTCTAAGGCCTAACCACAAAGCTACATGTACAACTACGGCAACCATGACTCACCCACTCCAGAATCATGTCGAGAGAGGGGGCGAACACCACTCTATTCGACTTCCACGGTTGGTACTATTATCTCCACTCCCATTACAATGGAATCGCTGTCGCGCTTCCTCAACGATTCAGATTAACTTTGGGCAGTTTGTACGTAGTTTAATCGGTATTTATTAAAGGCTAAATCACGCTGTTATTATACCATCTACTACCCATTTTTAAACCCAGAAACGCATCGACTGCACAAAAACAAAACAGATCTACACAGAAGCAAAGGCGTCAAAATTGTAAAGAGGGGAGTGAAATCACCACACACAAACGGTAATAATGGTGGTAAGCCAATACCAGGAGAAAGTTCAGTGCACAAGAATGATGTTCCAACAAATAACAAGACAGAAAGAGGACGAAGCTACTCATTCGTATTAGCTTGGCTCGCGAAAAAATTACTCGCGCGCCCGGGAGAGCACGGTTGTTTTTGTAAATGATAGACTGACTATACGACCGGCGTATTGGGCGAGGTCCCGAGTAGACATCGTTCAACTAGATGCTTGGTCATCGTTAAAGATGAACTCAGATTAAAACACGGCTAAGCCAATGCTGTAAAACGATTTACTGCATTGTTGCTCTCGAGAGGAAAAACCGAAACAAAGAACGTTTGCTCAACTTCGATTTTCAAGGGAATATTTTAAGCATTCATCAATGGACGATTCCGAGTCTCGATAGAGGAGAAAAACAATGAAGAGGATAGGGTTCCTTCAATAGCTCCTAATTTAGAGTGGCCCTAGCGGATGAGTTGGATTATCATTGACTTTCGCTTTCCTCCAACTGACGTTTATCAAGGAAGTAGTAGCAAAAGGAATTTAGTTTAAATGAAGGACTGAAAACGAATAAAATCGCGAGACAAACTAATGCAAATGCATTTGATTGTAAATACACTGAAGAGGGAAGTTCTAATAGACCAAGACTTGGGACGTGTGGAGTCAGAAATTTACCTTCGTAAGTTACTTACCGAGCATTAGCTCTAAAAATTGAAAGCGGAAGATAAGGTAAAAGGTCCAGAATGACAGATTCGAAAGACTCTCCCTACGACGTTTCCTATCTCGTAGTTTTAAATTCTCGCTTCAAATCATGACACGGCAAATAAATGGAAGCCTTCAACAACACTTGACTACTGAAGGTCAATCAGACTGGCCTAGATTTCCAGCCAGCTTAAAGAATGGCTAACTCAACTCCTTTACTTACCACACAGTGGTGGGTTTTGGTACAAAAAACAGGGCTCAATCCACCAATCCGAGTCTCAATAATGACGGAATAGGATATCCCAAAATAATAACTACAACTTATTCGATGATTTAAATAAATCTTAGTAACAAACTACTCAAAACTATTTTAAAGTTCATTTTTGCTGTTGCAATTTGCAAACATACGCGTCTCTTATACGCTATTATGGCTTAATACTTTTCCGAAGGTTATAGAAAGCAACGCTAATCCTCATCCACTAGCTGAGGAGCGGAAAAACAAATGATGTCGTAAGGTGCTCTCAAAGCATCGAAAAATATTGGATTCCACATTATGGTTGCTAAAAGATAGTCGTATTTAAGTCCTCAAGACATTCGACAAAACCAATGTCATAAAGCAACGTAGATTGCGTAACCAATGCGGCAAATTCATGGCCCACACCTTTAGAAAATGCATGCGAGCTTTGATAAGAAGCTAAATCAAACAAAATGTCTTAAAACTCCTAACAAACGCAGCTTTGCCGAAAAGTTCTTCGTTACAAAACATTTCTTCCAGGCTCTCGGTTACATGCTACGTGAGAGTTGGCATTGTGAAGTTCATAGTGGGTTAAACTGTTTATGCTGAGCGACTGCTTTTGAGAGTGACTCACAATGGAGAAGCGGAGCATTTTATGCCGCAAAGTTCGGCGAACATGAAAACAGTATACCAAACTATATTCCCCCAAAGCTTTAATTTTGAAACCAAAAGACAACGCTGCACACAATAATCGGAAATTCACTCCTTGTAGTCCCTGCAAGGGTCTCGTGAAGCATATTAAAGTAATAGAGAAAAATCTTCCCATCGGTTAGAAAATTACTATGAAGTGAAACTAATGGCACACGCTATTAATTGAAAGTGGAAGAAGCAATCAAACCTGATCAGTAGATTGGCGAGAGGAGCTGGAGTTCAGGGACACCTGGGAGTCGCTGTGCATTCCCGACTGTTTCGCTTCAAAGGATGGTTCGACGACGAGAGAAAAGTTGCCAGTAGAGCAGTGAGTGGTACGTTGCGACTGTGCCAGATCAATAAAATGGATGCGCACATCAGGGCCCTGGTGCGCAAGATGTTGAAAGTCCGAGGGAGCTGAGATGAGTCGCGAACCTGAGGTAGTGGTGGTACCAGAGGCAGCTTGCACGCCACCACTACTCGCCGAAGTGGTTCCATGGTCTGATGTCACTGAATCCAAGAGGGGACCGAAAATTGGACCACGGGAGAAGATGGAGAAGCGTCGCGACTTCTGCATGTGCGCGCACAGGAGAGAAGGAAGAGAAGTATAAGCATTCACAGATACACACAGGAGTAAACCCGTCAAACGCTTGGAAAGGAGGTATTTAATCGCACAAAATGACTGACCAATAACTAGGTAGTACTTGCAGATGGTGATTTACACACAATTTTTTCTTCTTTAATGGTCAGGAGTTTATGAATTAAAAGAGGATTGAAATCGACTTACCATAAAACATAAAGAGACTAGAGCATTGGATTAAGGAATACACAAGCCAATGTGACTCAAACGCCTTTGTGAATGACTTTTTACTACTAAACATAATTAAGCTGCAGACTTTACGCACCTTGTAAGTTTTTAATAGCATCCCTTCAAAGGTCACGGAAGAGGCAAACTAAAGATAACTGGGGCAATAAAGTGACAGGACTGTTGTCAGATTTGAGATTGGCTGATCCCCACGCAATCAGATGAATAGTGGTCTTAAAAACCCTTCAACAGGAGGCATCAATTTCTTAAACAAACCGATTTGCTCATATCGTAAAAAGCTACTGATTTTGCAGAACTGGAACGAATCTTTTTGCAACGTATCTTCTGGCATTAGGCTTGAAATTATCAATATAAAAACAACCGGTGAACAAGCATTTGAACTACTGATTGATGTCAAATTGCATGAAGAGGTCACAAGTCGGAGACTTCAAACTGAAATATGTACGCAGTCTGGTGTGATCATAAATGTGAAAAGACCCAAAAATAGGTTCCCAACATCATAAACGAAAGCTTAGAGAAACAGCCAAGTATGAAAACGTTGACCCAACACCTTAACATCACTGTACTACTTTTGACAGCCCAATGTCCGCATAAAAATGACGTTCAGGAGGCACCAAGCTGGAAGTTAACGGACACTGGAATCGAGAAGAAACGGTGGCACTGCGCATGAGTAGTAAGGTTAGCACCATTGCTTTACCATGCTTATATTTGCTAGGACATGATATACACTACAGCTTGCTCTACTCACTCGAGCCCTCGCATTAGCATCAAGGAGAGCGACGTTGTTTAATTCCAGCTGCCTCTCTACACTACCACCTACACCCAGGGGTCGGGTCAGGGGCGAAGTAAGGAGAGAGGTGTTCGTTCTGCGTCGCTGAACCGAGGCGAACATTGACTTGCGTGGCGGTGGGAGGTAGACTATGGATGCATTGGCAGTGCCACTGAATCCACCACTACTACTACCACTAACGTTTCCACTACCGCTCCCACCGTTAGCGATACCACTACTGCCGCCATTGACTAGCTTGCAGAGGCCTTGAATACACGAATGGGTCATCAGACAGAGGTGACCATCGAAGGTGTTGAGGGGACGAAGACGACGGGAACCTGCAGCAGAGGCGCTCCATGTTGAAGTCTCGACGTTGAAGAGGAAGAGACCTGCTTCTGTGAAGACCGAGAGAAACGGTTGGCGGTAGGAAAAGCCTCGGGGCAGTGGCTTGGCTGGCCAGAAGAGGTAAACTTGACGTGTCAACTGTCCCTGACTGTCCACGTAGATGCCACAATCTAGTAAAAGCAATGACATTTAGCGGCACCATGACTACCACAGAACATCAACTATAACTGAACTTCCAAACTTTTGGAATAGGTGAATCTATATCCTTCTTTGCTACAGAAGTTCCCTACATTGTCGAAGGGATAAAGATGGGTGGCTTACAAACATCCATGAGCTACGATAAGACAAGAAAGCGGCATTTTTTTGGAAAATTTCAATACATGCAAACACGAAAAAATTCAATATTGATAGTGCAAAGTGACCTAAAAATGGCCAGACTCAAAACAGTCAATAATGGAATGCAAAGCTAATGTACCTATCAGTGATTTTAATAAACTTACTATTTAATACAACGAATTAGCCCTATAAATGAAGCACTAATTACTTTCGAAGACGAGAAGAAACTCATCGAAGTTCACGGAGACAGCCAATTGCGCTGCAAATCGGTCTTGCCGAAACATCAACAAACTCGGGTCGAGATCTATGCATGAGGGTTCCAAGAGGACTAAAGAGAAGCAAAATAGAGGTAATCACGACTTTTCAGTAATTAGCTTTGTGCTATAGCGTTAACATCAAACGTGCATAAGTTCAATGACGCATTCAAGTGACTCGACAAAATAATAATTTCTCACGTGATAAAAAATTGGTACAAAGGCAATGTCCCAGTTCTACAGCTAAAGCACCAGAAACTTTTCAGTAGCGATGTTCCCCAGCTTATATTTATGAAGCAAATTGGCAGCACTTTCTCAATGTAGTGACTAATAACGCTCAGCAAATAACTGTTTGAAATAAATGCTATGTACACCTTGATTGAGTTGAGTAGCAGAGGAGATAGTGTAACGAGTGGAAACTCGGCAACATATCGAAGTCTGTAACTACTAGTTAATAATTTGTTAAAGACCATCAATTTCAAACAGTAACTTCAATCATATCGTTTTCAAAAAGTAACAGTCAAGATATATTCAAATTGCAGCCAAAAGGTATCGAGAGCTGAAAAATGTTTATTCAATAGCAAAGACGAGAAACTCACCATTTATGGCACCATGGCACCAGATGTTGTAGATAACGAAAGCGCTCTCAAAGCCAACGGCCAAACAATCACCATCGCGGACGAGACAGAGGGCCTGGATTTGCGAGGCAGAGGATGGTGGGGTGAGCTCGAGGAGGCGGCGGTGGCGTGAAGCTTCTCGTACTACCTCGTACGCCCACACACCACCAATGCTACTACTCGCTGCGCAGAGAAGGTAGGCGGTGCGACCGCGCGACCAACCATGCGTTATAAGATTCACACCCGATTTGGGGTCCGCTACTCGAATTTTTTCGTAGTTCATGCCCTCTATTGCCCCCGAGAGGACCAGCCGCAGACGGCGCTGCTTGCCTGTAGGGCGGGAAGAAGGATGGTAGATTAATTTTCGCTGAATTACACTTTAATATTCTGATGTTTTGCATGACTGTGGATATTATTTCGCGAATATTTCCTGTCTTCTATCGTTTAATCTCCACTCATTCAGTCCTCCGCAGCTATGTAGTAAAGCCAGGTTGAGAAGTGTGTAACACGATTTTCACATTGAAAATCTATATGAGTGAATACAATAATTGGAGATGTTTGAAAAAATATTCAACGGAGAGTTAAACGAACAAGATGTAGTGAAACAGTGAAGTATAGGGGGTCAGTGGTTGTTAGCAAATAACCAAATGTAGCTCCTAAGGCGCTGAAGCTACTGATAAACCAGTGCAAAATTGCTAAGATGATGAAGGAGAATGCTAAGAGTAAATGCGAATTCATAGAACCGCAAAGCAAAAAAAGCACGAAGTTAATTGTATGAATCCAGTTGGCGTCTTCCAGATTAAATTTCATATTTGTCATGTAGATAAACGCACAAATCTTGGAGTTATTAGTCAAATTCTCATGAAGACATCAGAAGAAAACCACAGTGTGGAGCAAACCCAAGAGTAGTTTAGAGATCAAGGGAAACTATTTCACCTGGAAAAGTAGCGTGCGTGGTGTGCAGAAGTAAAATTGGGGAACGCGTGATGTTAACAGCGAATTTTGGGACGATTAGCATAGATAAACACAAACATCGTCCTTATTCTAGCGAATTGTGTTTTTTAAGTGAGACCATTTTTAAGAAGCCAATAAAATTATGGTGACTGAAGTTCCGTGATGCCGGCGAGCTGATCTGGAAGTTGGGAAACAAAAACCGTTTAAAAGAATCCCAAGGGGCCAAAATTAGAGTAAATCTGGCATTTACGTCCTCCAGCCTTCAAATTGAGCAAAAGCTAGACTCTTGCTGTGAATGTCATCGTCCTGAGTTACTGTTCCAAGTTTGAAGATCCAACTTCTCAGAGGTAATGAATATTCGCACGAATCACCCATTTCTATTGACTAAGATCATTAAGATTTACGTAACTGTGATACTCACATTGAAAGAGAAAGCATATTTAGCTATTTCAGACTTATCCTAACCTTAAGCATTTTCGAGGGGTTCGGCACAATTTTTCAAAAAAAAAAAGGTTCAAATGAAAGAACGAAATTCCTCCAAAATTCAAGTCTAGAAAGAAAACAAACATCGCATGTGTTAATTAAAAGTAAATTTGGAGTGAACAAAAGACACGAACCAGAAAAGCTCAAATGAGGAAAAATGAAAATATGGTGGGAGCAATGGCGAAAAGTACCTTGAATGACGGCGACCAATTGCAGTTCCTCTGGCAGGACCTCCACCTGGTATATGGGTTTCTTCTCTCCAACGCGTGCATAGGCTAGACGAGAACAGGAACAAAGGTATCCCATTTCAATCTGCCAAACATCGGACTGACAGAACTTGTGCGTAAGGCGAAAGCCGTCACCAAACAAGTTCACAAGCTCCTCCCTTTTAAACTTTCCTTAAGTGTAGAGCTTTAGACCAATTTCGAAATAGGAAGAACCATTGAATTTAAATACTGCACTTTCGGTACAAAGAACCTTCGCAAACGTTGGCGCATTTCTTAACAGGTGAAACTCCAGGTCACCATAATCAGTGAAGCCATCATTAATTTGGCACTACTGCTGAAAAGTTCTAAGATCAGCGTAAAAAGCTAGAAGGTGAGAGGACATAGGCAGAAGAGGAGGCTTACTTTTATATCGTAGATCCACGATATATAGACCATCTTCGGTTCCCACTAGGATTCGATGTTCATCTATGCAAAAAAGTAAGGGCAAAAGACAATTATTTTATTCAATGGTTCCAAACCCTTTGCACAGCGCGTTCAAGATCGCAATAAAAGGATGTTTGAAAGTGCTTAACGTCTAGACCAGCAAGAAATACATACTTAAGGTTGGGCACGAATAAACTGTAGTAATTTGGGGTTACGTTTGGCAAAAGTGGACCGGTGTAATATGGAATTTACCATGAATCTGAGAAGCTTTCAAAAGAGAATATAGAATTTAATGACTTGGAATCCAGAATAAGACCCCCTAATAGTTGTTGATATTCAAAAGTAAACTGCTTCTTCTCAAATGTTCAAAGGATGTCATAAGACCACCTTGAAGCGAAGTGCAACAATGCATTAGGCGAATCGGAGACAGGTGATTGAATGTAAACAAGTTGACTCGATCAAGGAGAAAGGAGAAAAAGTCCTTACCATGAACACAAGCCGATAGAATATGTTTGATAAGGGGGAACGAGGCATCGGAGAGGAGGGATAATTGGAGACACTGGGAATCAAGAGTGCGCGTAAAGTTGCGAGCGACCAACCGTGCGACATCCTCCAGTGCGCCAAACCACCGCTCACACTCCTCCCGTGTCTCGAAGAGGAGATAAACCGGTGTACTGCCTGCATAGTCGTCTGGGTTCACCTAAACGATGTGTCAAAGACAGCAAGTCTCAAAACTAGTTCCATTTTCAGTTCTCAGGCACGGATAGCGATCAACGTGGAGTAGAAGCTGTTCAAGTGGTATCATTTCAGAAACGTTTTGGAGCAATATACTTTTTTACTACTTTCATATGTCCACATGTCAAGAAGTGGTTTATTCAGGCTACAGTTTTGACCATAGGCAGACTACTTTTACTACTATTGCACCAGCTCTCACAATTGTACCTCTAGCCATTGTCACTAACTTTGGGGAGTTTTCCCCTTTGGCTTTTAGGCTTAAACCATTTCCTCCTGGGTCATTGTCCTACAACACCCTTCAGCGGTAGCTATGACGTGAAGTGAGAACAGCTATTGGGCAACTAAAAACATGGCTATGGCTCACACGAATGTAAACCTTGACGAGACAGAATTGGTGCGAATCGCCGGCACATTAGCTTGACATAATCACTGACAATTGGATGGCTCGTTGACCTTTCGAATGCCAATTATAGCCCATTCCTGGTTTGGATAGGTGAATTACGTCCGAGTGCCTAAAAAGCGAAGTTCCTGCTCACTTTGAACGGCGGCTAAGTTCGGCTTCGACTACTATTTCCACAAAATAGAACACAGTCTGGGTAATTGAACAGTTGACGCAATTGCATAGAATCTCATCACCAAGTTGGCTGCTTCTGTTACGAACATGTTTTATGGTGCACACAGAAACCGCATCCTTGTTAATCGGTGCCAGTGCATAAAAGCCAAAGGCTAATGGAGGACCAACGTAACGGTATTAATATTCGACAGCCAACCTGTACACTCGATAAACCAAGGATATTTCAAATTGTCAGGTCCAAAACACTCAAAAATTGAATTATTTGAACACATTGGAATTAAACAAGCAAATATTTGAATAACTAGAGGCCAAATTTTGCTAGCGAAGGCTATACCATGTATGGTTACGTAGTTTTTAAGGTTATAAAAGTAGCAAGTGGGGACAACAGTTATTTAGTGCACCAAAAATCGGTACTATGTCCCCGAAAAGCCTACTCAGTAGTTTTACAAGCCATACAGGCAAGACATGATCTGTGTGTGTGCTTCCAGTTGATTATGGGAGATTTCATTCAAAGACCTTAAAAATAATTCAGTCACTGAAACGAACCAGTTTAGCCATCAACATAGCACAATTCAGTAATAATTATCAAATAAGCCGTGAACAATTAACTGAGCCTTAATTCTATAAATCGAGACATCCATTTCCAAAGTGGAGGTAATTATAAAATTCTTAGGATGGATTAAATCGTAAAATAGGTGCAACTGATAGTGTTGTCCAGTGAATTAATTAAATTTTTGCTGCGGATCTGCGAGTTCAATCATTTAGGGACCTGACCACTATTCCCAGTTATACGTGTAACATCATAACACAAATTGTCTTTATTCCGTCAAACAGTACTTTGAGGTGTATGCATAAACACCATCCAACCACACTTGCATACTAGTGTAGCCTCGACCCCATGTCCTTTCCAGCACTCAATCTCAAGCTATTCCTAAACATCTATTCTTCCTATAAGTACACTCTCCCTCCAAATCGAGTGTTAGAAAGGAGCAAAGAGGGAGCGAATAAGATACACTGATTCCATACATTATTACAACCCAATGACAGCCACGACGTGTAGCACTTTCGGCTTTCCAATCAATTTCAAATGCGCATTCCGAAGGTACAAGAGAAAGATGAGGACCTTCACCTCAAGCAAACCACTGGTTCAGGGAGATAAAGAGAGTACCTTGAGAATATGCGGTACTTCGTTGCGTTTTGCGTGAATGACGTCTGTATTGGAGACACGAGAGACCTCAAAGCCAGAAGCATTGAGGTCGATCACGCAGGCGGGCGAGTTTCCGTGGATATCGTAGACCGTCTCATAGGTAATTTGTGCACCTCCATTGTAGGGCAGAGTGATGGAGAGCGTGCCTGCCGACCTTGGTGAGACCGTAGTGCCACCAACGCCCCCGTCAGCGGCTAAAGTCGATGCGCGTGGATCCCGCGATGTCTCCGTACCGGGTTGGTAGACTGTACGGGCTCGACGCACTGCAGTGCACTAACAATGAGGCAGAGCAAGGCGTTAGTTTGACTTCATTTCTGGTTACTGAAAGTATTCATGTAGGTGATTTACTAATTTCTAAAGCTGACGACAAACACTTCTGCACTAGCAGACCTTGGGACTTCATTTTCGCGATAAAAACATCACATTATGCGAATAGTGCAATGAGGGAGGATCATCGCTGCCCTCAAAAGGGAATCACAATCAGTGATGCCATCCGGTTTAAAACTTGGTGTTTTGACAACTCTGGTTACCAAAAATTCTGCGTAGCTATGGTCACATAGCTAAAAATGAAAGGCAACATACGTTGGAAAGCTTGAATCATATTCGGGGATGCTTGCAACTTCATTACTATTTCCAGTAAGGTAAACCGTACTTCTAAACTTAACCTCTTAACATTTATTTTTGTAGTCAAAGGTTGAAGTCGGTCAAAAGAATTTCTTGCTAAGACGTGAAGTAATTTGATGACGAAAATTCGAAACAGCCCAAGGTGTATACAACTTTGCGATGGAATAAAATTGCCCAGAATAAGGTAGGATAAATCTTTATTATTTCAATCTGTGACGTTTTCTATTGACGATGTCAACATCTTTTTAAGAAATATTCTAGAAGTGATTAAATTCCACGAAAGATTTTTTCTTGCTAAAGCACCGGATACTAAGTATGTGGTTGTGGGTCATGCACCAACATTGGGACTGCTCATTCTGCCTGAACTACCAGTATTCCAGCCTTTCAGTAACTTTCCAAATTCCTACATCCTTGGCACATCTCTCCTCGACAAGGCGCTACACTGGTGCATGAATCAAAGAGTAGTTTAGCCCATGAACCAGTGATTCAAGAAAATCACCGTCAGTGCATATGATAATGCCAATCGATGCAGAGAAAATGAGTGATCACCTATGCACAGAATGCATAATTTGCAGTATGGCTTCCCAACTATGTACATTTTTTTTTCGAATCACACAGAGGTCAAAGAATAGCAAAAATTCTCACAAATGTACACACGTGTGGATATGGCGGTTGTGGAACGTTTACGATCAAAGCGCCAATAGGCACAGGTCATCAAATCATTCACTGACAAATTGCGATGAGTATACAAACGTCATCCTAAGACTACCTCCTGGACTGTACATAGGTGCTCTCCCCAGCCAGCCAACACTCAAGTGAGTCCAGAAGGAAGAGAAGCATCGAGCGGAAAGAGATGGAACGAAGAGAAAACCACTCACGTCATAAATGAAGAGTCGCATATCGCAGAGGTAGGCGTACTGCTGAACCCAACCACGTTTAATATCGCCCTTTGGAGTCTGATGATGAGTAAAATTAAAAGTTAACACAATGGAGGAAGTTTCTGAAAGAGAACAACAAAAAATGAATAGCTCATAGAAAATGACTGTAGGCGGTAGCGACATTTTAGGAAGACCGGTTTAAATTGCAAACGATCAAGTAGCTAAGAAGATTTATAGAGCTTCATTGAGGAGATAAAGTAATAAAGGTGCAAAAAAAAGGGAAAACAAACCCTAACAGGCCCCTCGAGAATAGTTCCAAGGCCAAAGGCGACATCTGTGTCTAGAATGAGAAAAAGGGAGATCAAATTCGCAGAAAAGCATTACTAAACAGACTATTTCTGTGTCACAATATCAATTCGTTAAGAAAATAAAGAGGGTTACCAGTTAGTAATCACCTTGACAGGAGATAAGAGGCGAAGAGAATGAAGAACACAACTTCTAGCCTTCGAGTTGCCGGAGTCCTTATGCTATCTTCAGAACACTACCGTAGTAAAACTACCTCTGCTTTATTTATGAAAAGCCATGAGCTAAAAATGTAATTAGTCTGGACCAGAATGCGTTAGTCTCGCAGTTCACCTTTGCTGCAACTTGGATGTGCATAAGAAAGATACAGGCAAAAGTAGACCCCTGATTAAGGCTCAATACATAAAGTCATACGATGGAAATAAAAAATTTAACTTTACATTTAGTTAGTAAGTCAAAACATCTACAAGACCCAAAAAATGTCAACACCCACAATTGTGTTGAGACACCAAGTAAGACCACTCATGTATGCTTTATGACGTCTGACTCGTATTTGAAAGCCTGTCCTTGAGGGAAGTCAAAGACTTCCCCAGGGTTGAACTGTCAAGACGAACATTTAATCGAGGAAGTGAATAGGAGAGAGAGGGGTCAGCACAAAATAACGAAAACACCATAGGATCTGGCCAGACGCCCATGAAACACGAAAAACGGACATGGACGTGTAAATGTGTGCGCAAATATGCTGCTCTGCTTGGCCGCACTGAGGCAGCCAGTGAGTGAGTCACACCGTGAGGTGTGCATGTGAAGTGGGCCATTGACTGATGCATTGGATACCAACAACGAGCGGTGGGTCTTGACTTATGCAGCCATAATAGTCTGAAAGAAACGGCTGCTACAAAAGGGATGAGGATAACGAATTCCAAATGCCAATCAAAATAATTTACCAAAATGGCTCTTGAAAGACCTACTCTTAGGGCGTTCGTAACGCTCCAACAGACATATTCCTCACTATTATAAATTGTTGGAGGTGGTTTCGATTGTCATATTTAGTGATATGCAGATATGGGGAGGACTTCAATGCTGCAGATGAAGAGTAAAGGGCGAAGGAAAACTGGTCATTCGAAGTGGCCCAAAAACTTTTAGTTAGAAAACAAAAAGGAAGAAATTGTAAAATTCCCAATAAATTATAAACTTGTATCAGATAATACGAACCTGTCTAGAGGTTGATTTGTACCGATTCCAATAAATTGAGATGCGTTACCGATAAGGTTTGAGTGCAAATTTGCATCTTCCAATTCTTTCCCCAAAATCTGTTTTGACTTGTGTAAGAGAGCACTATTCGTGAGAAGACTTTGCTTCAAACTTTATGAGGAGTGATGCAAGACATTTAACATTAATGGTTAGTAACTAGAAGTGCAAGGCAACCCAAGCAATGCTTCTGTGTAATTCAAATAGACAGCAATAAAGCGTAAACATTTAGGTTGAGGCCATTTAATGAAAAAAACGAAGGATATAATGGAGAGGTTTTCAAACAAGGAAAGAGGAAGCCTGAGGATGTCCGCTGAAGTTCCAATAAGCTTGTAACTCGCCGGAGAGGCCACCTTGAGTGGTACCAGTGGTTAGAAAATAGTAAGAGTGGCGATTACTCATCTACATTTACCAATCCATCAAGTCTTGTGGGCGGTGGTACAGAATTGGGTCCGGGATCTCAATGTTGATCGTGTACTCGAAACGGAGATTAGGTACGAATTACTTTGCTTATTCAACAGAATTTGTGATTTCAGCAATATGCGAGATATGTAGGCGTTGGACATTCCATGATTTACGAATAGAGCTGATCCCAATAACAGTAATCGAGCGTCGGTCGCCTAGTTCTAATTTAAAAAGGAGCATTTAGAAAGATGGGCAAAAAGCACTATGAACGTTAGGTAAAAAAAGGGAGGAAGTTGTCCATTACCACTGCGACTGATTGATCTGTTGGAACCTGAGACCGGATATGAAAGTACCACAAAGAATGTCGAATGTGGAATAGAGTGGATGACGCTCCTTTGTAAAAGGCTTACTAATAATAAAGACACCTACTGTGTATACTGGGAAATTGAAGTACTTATTAATAATTAGAACAAGTATTCTGGCGTCATAAATGAAGGAATAAGGCCTAAAAAGTTATAGATAGATACCTGACAATGTATTTATTTTGACAGCATGAATCACACGCTAATAGGATGGATTTATTTGTAGCGCATACCTTGAAGGACAAATACATCACAAAATGTCATACCTAATAAAGACGCACAGGTATCAATACGAGGCAAATCGAAGGAACCCTTATTACAAACACGCACCAGTGAACTGCTTTCACGCCAGAGGGAGAAAGACAACAAGAGGCAAGGAAATGAGTTTCAATCGCACACTGTGGTTGCGCCTAAATCTAGTCAAGCCCCAGTACCATTTGCAAGAGCTGAGGGGCAAGCGGTAGTAAGGCCTACCGAAGGAAGGCATTTCGGAGGGACCAGTAGCGGAAGAGCAGGGAAGGGAAGCAGCTGCCTGACGACACTGAAGATGGCAGGCGAAGCCACACTGTTGGCAGCGCAAACCCTGCCAGTGCTGACCTAGCAGTAAACTTGCACAAGCCAGACATTTGGTGGGATTAGCAAAGCTGTCAGGCACTAGCTTGTGCGAAGTCACGGAGACACCACTGCCGCTGCCTAGAGAGATTGACTTCTCAGAAGACTTGGAGGCCTGGAGTACAGTCGTCGACTCTGCTGTCCGGTGGGCCAATGTTTGCGTCCCGTTCAGCTTGGTAAACAAGAGATAAGGGGCAAACTGATAACCTCTTGTTCCTCATTATCATAACGTGATGATTAGCCAATCTCTCCTTGCTCCTTTCTACATAGATTACACTGCGTCTGCCAATAGTAAGTCAACTAACGGCGGAGATGCAGCACAATTAGTAGGAAATTAAGCGATATCAGTAATGCTAGCCTTTCAACTAGCCTTCCTTCCCTCGTTTTACCAACTGTACCACGTGCGCACTCTCGCCGAAGTGATATTAAATATAAGTGGTATTTAGCAAAGACGAATAGACTTGGCCGCTGACATCACTTTTATTTAGGCAAGTTCCAGCAGTGAAATAATAGATTCTTTCGGAATCAGCACTTTTCCTTTATTTTAGAACTACAAATTTGGTGAAATGTTTAAGATCCTTCAAAGCAAAACACTTTAGCTTTAAAATTTGTAGTTGTCAAGTAGTTTTGGCATAGATGATAAACACGAATAGAGACATGTAGGATATCGTATGCTTGAGATCGAGGCATAATATCCACTCAATACAGTTGTCCTTCAGCATCTCGAAAAGGGGAAAAGAAGAGCTCGGTTTGTTCGACGATCGATCTAGCATAATTGATGCAATGGGAAATCTCGTGTTTACTTTACTACGTGGCGGATTAGGCAATATTTGTTAGGAATTTTCAATTTATAGTGCCATAAAGTAAGGATGCAAGGAAATAAAAAAAAAAATCAAATGCTAAAGCCCAAAATATGTTGGCGAGCCATTATTTAGATGATAAATAATAGCACTTCAGAAGATTGGAACATTCACATATCGGATCTGTAGAGTCCTGTCTTAAAGGCAAAAGTTTCAAAGTCAAGTCTAGGAGACTTATTTCTGGAAAACTTAAAACATCACTACTTGGTCCAGGAACGTGAAATTGTCACAACTGCCTAAAATCGAAGACAATTAAACCCGACATTTCAAAAAAAGGAGAGGAAAATAACAAAGTTCTGCAAAATACACGCACTTCAAGCCACTGAAACACTCGAATAGGGTAGCGTTTAGATAGCTTGCAATGATAACGAGAATTTCTGGAAGAGAACGGGAAGGAGGAAGACACAAAGTAGAGTTCATTCATCATAAGGCTGCTACGGAGCCTAATAAATGACGGCCCCAAGGCGTAAGACTTAACTGATCAAATGACGATAAAACAATAAAGACGATTCAGCAGCACCTGAATGACTAGGCACCTAGGAACGATACTTTAAGCATCACACTTTCACAACATGGGATCTAATTTTACTATCAGACTAATCAAGTCACCCAAGAATGGAATAGAAATACGGGTAACTGGGAGAAATGCACGCTAGATTGTCCATACTATTGATGAAAAGCTCATTGCGTTTTGAGCGTTCATTAAAAGCTAATCGAGAGCAGTGGCGCGTTTCAAAGGTATATTAAAATCACAGTCCTGCGAGATCGTGTAAGAACTGAGAGGTCAGGCACGAAAACCAGCTACAAATGATAGAGCAAGTACATTTGCGTGCACTTGTGCAATTAAAGTCATGGGTAGAAGCAATAACCGATTTGTAGTCCTAAGAAGTGATTACGCTATGAACAAAACGCGAAATTCAAATCCATCCTTAGCTATCAATTGAGCAAAAGGGAGGCCAAATGTCAGCAAAATTCAAAACAGGTGTTTGGCAGGATCACAATTTAGCAAAGAAGAAAAATGCACTAGTACACGCCGCGTAAGTATACTCGTTTCTATTGTGAATAAAAGCGACCAATGAACCATACATTTGTACGCCACCACGGTAGAAATGCTATGATGCTACTTGCCGTGGGAGAGCACAATGACTGGAGGAATTTAAGCGCACACACAAGTACACCACGGTAGGGACACAAGCATATGGGCGGACGTTTTATGAATTCAACCATACCAGTAAAATGCAGCTTCCGGATTGAGGCAGGACTCAAATGTGAATAGACAGAGAATTATTCCAAAAGCTGGCCGATGAAATTAGTGCTGCAGAACAAGAAAGGTACTGAATTCAAGATCCTAAATAGTGCGAACCCATTTAACTTGATGTAAAAATAAGTGACTGTCAGTAAATATTCTAGAAAAACTGCATTTTTCTGACTTTCACAACACCGGAGAGGAGAACGAAAGCCTTCCCTAAATCCTTGAGAGGCCTTTTGATTTGTTAATGTTGGGTTTGGTCCGATGAAACTGCTAATTAACGGGACAAAAGGGGAATGGAACAGGGGCTCTAAAATCTGTGACAATGCAGGCTCACCAGTTCTGCACGAAGGTACGAAGACTCGTCCATTTCCGCCGTTTTCATCCGTGATCTGCGAACTTCATTAGTCACTAAAGCAAACATAGTAATAAATTGCAAACACAGACGCCAAGGAGTCACGGTAGTAGCAATGCTAATAATGAAAACGCGGCCTTGGCGAGGTAGTAGGAGTAATAAATAGGTGATTTATGGAATCACGGCAGTTATGAAAAGTAGCCCACATAAAATTCCAAGGCATACGTAGGAAAAGGTTAGTCACCGAGAGCTAGAGTAAGACAAACGAGCCAGAAAAACCCCAGTGTGCATAATATTTGAGCGATTCTTCTGGACAGGTTGATGCACTTTAACGCTACGGTTTGACAAAAACGCAGTTAGTGAAAACTGCACACAATGTACTGGAAAACCAAACCTTTGAGGCATCGCAGAATAAAGTTTAAACGAAATTCCCACGCGTCTGCTACTAGCAATTAATTCCGAAAACCCACAGAGTTTGGTAGTAACTAAACCATTGCATTAAGAATGCAATGGTAAAGACCGTCCCAACCTAACCGTTGCAAACCGAAAAGTGAGCATTCGAGTAAAGCAACAGACCCCTATTCCAGAGGTATGCCTTCAATTTACTGAATAACCTTAGCCACCAAAGCCAAGAGAGTCACAACAGAGGAAATTAACATTAAATTCATTTCTATCGTATCCAAAGTAAGCAAGGTTAGACCCATGAACACTATCCTCTAGAGCTTCCAACTATGAAAAGCCTCTTATGCAGGGAAGGAAAAGCTACAATGGAGACAAAAAATTGCGTGGCGAGGTGATTGCAGGGAGATCAGCAAAAGAGGATAGAGGATAAATAGCTCACCTTGCAGAAGCTGGTCTCGTAAGCTCTCTTTCTCCTTTTCTGTCTGAAGTAGTTTATTCGATGTGTCAGTTAAGCGACTGAAAGACGGAGAGCAGCAAAAATAGAAGCCCAATTAAAGCAGCATAGGAAAACGGAAAAAAAACCCACGTAATTGTCTCTTCCAGCTGCACCTCGAGCTCGCGTACGCGCTGTTGAGCAAGTTCGCGCTCGCGAATTTCATTGTTGAGAGCCAGTTGGAGATTAGAGCGCTCCATTTTACTGATACGACCTGCTTTGCGCTGACGCCAGTCCACTGTGTTCCCAATGCTGCTGCTACTGTTTGCAGTTACAGGAGTGATGCCAGGAACCGGGCGATGATCATCATATTCCGATCCGTCCGGCGAGCCGTTACGTATGCGCTGCAGGTCGGACATCAGGTGAAGCACCGTGTCCTGTAGGAATCAAACACCAGAATGCAGTGAAAAATGACAAATAACGGTGTTCATCCACCCAAACTGATGGAGTCCTCTAGGTTTCAATCTCAATCATGAGGACATGGCACTCCATCGCGATATATTTAGATGAAAACCCACCAGTCCTTCTGTATATTTGTGGAGAGATTTCTCCAGGTCTATACAAACGTCATTGGAGAGGACCGGTTTTGATGAGGTGAAATAGCATGTATCCCATTAATTGTCGCAACGAATTACAAGGAGTTTGCCAGAACTGCTGTCCTGTGGCGACTGCTAGGACTAACAGTGAAAGGACGCAATGAGAAACACGATACATCCATGTAGCTGTCAATACCTTAGACACTATCGTTGACAGTGCACTAATTGATTTCGCAGACCATCGAGATGGTGCCCAAGTGTTTGCGGTAGACGCCATAGACTTACAGGGATGGGAAGAGTAAACCAACCCAATCCATAACCATAATCACCCAGCCTTTCCATGAAATACTAGTAAAACTTCTTCCGTGTTGGTGGTTACAATTGTGGAGATGACGTGAAACGGGTAAGGTGATGCACTTGAAGCTGTGTACTATGTGGCTACAGTGAATGAACGCAGCTCTTCTACTGGAACATACATTCCGCATCCTTTAACAAAAATTAGTGACAACGGTCGCCATCATAGCAAATAAACTTTAGGCGAAAAACTACACGACCCGAATTCAAGCCTTGACTAGACAACAATTTGTTACTCATCAAGTTAAATAAAAAACAGCATGAATTGACGTCAAAAAATTGTTGTGAAAGTCCCAACAGTTACTCATTCGCGCTGGATTTTTTTTAATGAAATCATTGGTCAAAACATCGAAGATTTCCAATAATTAAGGCAACATCACCAGCACGATAAGAATAGTAAACCATTGGAGCAGACTCACTTTTGAGTACTGCCGAGAATGGTCATGAATCATACCCAAAATTTACAGATCGAGCTGGGAGACCTCAACACTAGCATTTTGCCAGAAGTGAACCCAAGGTTTATCCTGAAGAGACTGGAGAGGAACATGAACTTCTGGTATCATGCCAAAGTCACATACGAAGTCGAGTGCTTGCAAAAAAACTAGAAGAAGTGATGTGATGGTTACAATTACGATAATCTGTAAATAAGCAACAACTGCATAGACACGATTAGGGTAAAAATCCGGTCCTGAGAAGCATCTGAAACGCACATGAAGACTGTCATTTGCGGCCCATTCATTGTCAGCGATGGATATGAGTTCGACCAACTGATTTTCCCACACCATTACACGTTGCTCCAGTGCCGTGCAACGCTGCCTCTCCTGACGCAACTCTCCCTCCAGGAAACTTGTCTGCAAAGAGGTCGGAAGTGAGAAGTTGGTTATACTGAACCTCTAATACTTATCATCAACAATAATGCTTAGAATGGGATCACATAGAAGTGCATTTGATAGACCATGAGTCATCCTACTTTTGGTTCACTTAAAGACGCTGAGATTGGTAAAGGTTTTGAAAGATTACTAAGCTTCCCGTTCAAGTTTTTCTAAAAGCATTAAGACTTCATTAAACTACGGTGGTATGACACTGGTAATTTTACTGAGTTTTCAAGGAAAACGCCAAATCATACAAAAATTCGAATTATGAAAGCTATCTGAAGGTTATAATCTCAGAGACAGAAAAGCTCCAAAAGAGCAAAACATGCCACAACAGATCACTGCTCTCAAGAGAAATAGATTCAAGGAGTGAAAATTAAAGAAATGTTTAACAATATGTAAAAACACTCCATTATGTGCATATACAGCTACTTTTAACACATCGCTTCACTTCTAAGAAAGGTAAACGTCAAGTCCTATAACATGAAACCCTCATAGGCAACCTAGTTTTAAGTTTGTTTAATAAATCTCCAATACACATGGCCAAGGATTTCGTTTGAGGATCAACGCCGTGCATGAGAGACTAGCCACCTGAGTGGGGACGATTCCTTTGATCGTTTGTTTATATCGGCGATGCGAAAACCATGCGCTGCGGGCTCCAGCGATAAATATTTATTACGGAAGGGGGCTGAGCCATGAACAGCAGCACTATGCGTTTAATAAGGCAGAGGCTTTAAGAACTTAGTACGTTTCCTGTAGATCAAACAGCAACTCGTAGAAATTTCGTGTTGTCAACTCGTGCTAATTTGACGTATAGAAATAAGTAGTAGAAGTGCCCAATGACCATGTAAGTGTCAAATCGAAAATAAGAGAAGCTTAAAGGGTTAATTGAAAATTTGGTTACTATAAATAGAAAAATTTCAAGCCACGGGTATTTTTCAATCGTGAGAAATTTGGAGCATGCTACCCCACTGAAGGCAAAGCAGTTCAGCTAATCCGACAGCATTGGTCGCGTAATAGGTGCTTAGCAATGGAAGGGACGACTAATAAAAGCGACTGGCAATTTAGGCAGCTCGATGAATGACAACTCGAAAGATATACATTTTCGATTGCCTTCCACAACTGTTCAATTCGTGCGGGCAGCCTAAAAATGAAGACCTCATTCAAAATGCATGACTCTCTACTAAATATACAGTCGACGTGTTTAAGAAGCTTATTTAGAATCTGAATGTTTAGGAGATCAAACGTCCACAACCTTCGTAATTAACACTCGACGGGGAAAATTACCATTTCTTATTACTAAACGGCTTTTACCCTCGAACATGGTCGAAATATCTTTCACTGAAAACGCAAAGTTAATTGCCTGGCCACATTCGAAATAAGAAGCAATGAAGATGTGGGAACTCTTTCACAAGCCAACCTTATAATGTTAAACAACGGTAAACAAGGCGCGAAAGGGCTTGTGACTGGTCCAGAAGAAGACCAAAAAAGACCTCTACAGTGTTCATTAGACTTTGTTATGCATTACTTTCAAATTCTACCAACCCAAGTCAGTTAAAGTTTGATGCGATCAGCAAATATGGAGGCAAATGGATCCACGACCTAGGAAGCCAGCAATAGATGGAGCACAGTAAACCTCAATAGATTTTTAAGAAAATTTGATCGAACGCTAGAACGAGAGAAGCCGAGGAAAAGGACAGCAACAACGCACTCTTTCGAGAACAATCTCGCGAATACGGTCCTGCAGCTCAGAGCGTTCACGTTGCCAGCGAAGCTTTTGATCAGTCCAATAAGCCTCCTGGTTGGCTAACTTTGCCTCACACTCCTCTGCCCAGGTCACCGCCTCACGGAACTTCAGCTCCAATTCTGTCTTCGCTGCCGTTATTGGTTCCGTGGTGTCACCCGCAGTGGCTGCGAGGCCATTGGAATGATTGTTTTCTAGGGCTGCCGCAGCTACTGCCTTCTGTGATTGTTGATGCTGCTGTTGGATGTATTCGTCCAGAAGCTTTCGCTGTGCCGCAAGTTCAGCACGCTTCTCGTCTAGGTCGTTGAGGAGCTGAAAGTTTGAAAGATGAGATGGAGGATTCAAAGCTTAGGACCCGCAAACTTTCACAAGTCCAGATTTAATCGAATGAGTTCGCAGATTGAGAGAAAGAAGCTGGAACTATCAGAAGGATAGCCTAATATGTTTTAAGACATTAAGTCTATGGCCATGTACATTTATGAAAGCTGCATTCTAGATGGTATTTCTTCGAGATTGCCATAACTTGACGCAACCAGGAGAATAACTTAAATAAACACTGAAATTATGCACATATGATATGACTGTATTTGTTCATTAATTTGGATACTATAGTAAAAAGACAATGCCGCCCTCGAGATCAACGACTTCAGTTATAGTACCTTTCGACATTGATGACTTTGGACCAAAGTTTAAAATATCTGACAGAAGTCAACGATACTTGAGGTGAGGAAAATAGAAATCTAAACAGGCATGCGATTATTACTACGCGATATAAGCTGTGTTTGCACACAAGCGGCCGGGATAAACTCAACATCAATTTCTAATCCATACATTTAAACATTCAAAAAAATACAAAATAAAGCTTCTATCTTCTGTAAGTGTACTTAGTGGTTTTCGTCGCTCTTATTCATAAAAAAACCCCGAAGTTCACATAATCAACTACAAGGCCACATTCTTGAGGGGAAAAAGTGGAAAAGCAAAAATAATGGGGCTTTAAACACTGAATTTTCTGCTTCCCAAATAATTAGGACAATTCCAAGTCACCCTCAAACATTGCACAGGCCACCTTCCAAATTCAAATTCACGCCACTTTTCCACCCAAACAACTTACAAATAAAAGATTAAAGTGACTTTCTTGCGGCTCCAATTATGCGCACAAATATGGCGACTATGGGTCGCCGTCATTTTGGCATTCAAAGTAGTGGGATAAAGTTCCAGAGTTTCGTTAGGAAAGCCATATCGACATCGTCTAGTCTACTACGTCCTCAGTACCAATTCAAACGCTACGGTGTAAAATTCCAGGTACCAACAAACAGAGGAGTAGACCATGAACTCGGAGAAATACTACACTTTCAAACGATAAAACATCGGTGACTAATCCCCAGGACAAATAATCCTTTTGAGCAAATTGAAGTCAATGGGAATGGATACCGAATCTAAAAAGACTTCGATGAAAGAATAAAAGGCAAGGTTTGGCAAAAGGTCCTCATGAATCCCACAATACCTTATTTATAGCCTTCAAGCATCCAAGACGACGTCCAAGCCACAGCCAGACAAAATGCAATAAAAGAGCTAAGAACGTAAGCTCCTGTTAGCTTCAGGCACCCTCTATTTCGTAAAGTGAGTGACTTAAGGGAGAGTGAAATGACAACGCATTCATTTTCAATGCTTTTGAGTATGAAAGACTTAAGCAAACGCTGCACGAAACATATCCATCAAATATCTTAGCCGTAACTACAATCTAACCAAAGGACGCACTCTTTCACAGGCTGCCTCCTTTTCACGCAGTTTGGAACTGGTTTCTTGAATGCGTTTGCAAAGATCTTCATTTTCCTCTTCGTATTCACGAACGTCGAACTTGAGACGCTCCACTCTTTCTTGTTCATCTGCCAGTCTATAAGACAAATAAGACGCAGGAAGCTTATTGGTGAAATTTTGAATACTCGTGGTGCCAAGCCACGGTCTGGCCATCTTAGCGATGACCAATCAAGGGTTTCGAGGGGTCCTAAGGGGCATAGTTTATAGCGGATGAACCAATACAAGTCTGCAATGTTAAGAAGTCTACATAGCAGCACATAAAGGAATCGGCTCAATACATCTTAGTTGAAGTGAAGACTTGTGAATGTTAGAGAACAACAATTATTATGTCAACAACCGTGAAACCAAAACACAAAACTCCCCAATGCAAGGACATGTAGTAAAGGGCATGGAGGTTTAAAGTGATAGAGGAGCAATTTGGTAGCCCTGTTGATAGCGATCCTTTAATTGGAGACAGCTAGTAGTGAATGAAGATGGTTAGGCGTAGAGGCAGCGAGGCATGGCCAGTCGGCCGGACGAAATTTGAGTACCAGATGACGTTTTACACCTAAAGGATTTTTGGTACCTAGTCATCAGTCCAAACTTAAGTAATTCCAAGCCCTTAGAATTTCGTAAAAATACCAAGTGCAGATAGTATTCATAAGTTAACCATCACAGTCACAATCATCCCACCATAATTCCTTGTGAATGAAGTTGGGATTGTTGATATTTAAGGAATAAGATTGCTGCAACTTGCAAGTCCGGGCTTCCTTTCGAAGGCGAAACACCGTGAAAAGTAACTCAAGTGCATAAGCATACCAGTCCAAATGGTGCAAAAGGTTCGCCTGGGATCCAGCTTCAAGACAGCTTATATTTGGTTATTACAATATGGCACCATTTGTGCAGCAGCCATGCATCGAATCAATTCTAATGCCATTAGGGGAGAAATTGACAACGCCGCCACACCAGGAGTTTTAAGTTCATAGGTTTACAGGGAAGCAATTAGGGGATGAGAAAACGCTTTGCCTCAAGTGCTTTCGAAACTCAACGTAATAATGGAAATGAGGCTTTAAACAAAAAAGTTGAAGGTCAGTCAGTGGACTTGGAATGTAGTTCACATGTATGCAGAAGCGTGTGCACGCACGCATTGACCCCAAAGGTCACATGCTAGAGGGCAGTGAAAAGGGGATGATTGCATGGTAAGTGAACGGAAGACGGTTGGAAAAGCTTATATTTATGTAGAAGGGGGTTGCGAGGTCGGATACGGCATCGAGAAAGGGTGTCCACTATGGAGGTTAGGCGATAGTGATTAAAGTACGGTCTAACAACGTAGAGCTAAAAGAAGGACATATCGAGACATCAAAATCACCTGATTCGAGAAGTTATTCTGTCAAAAAATGAAGAACAAAAGTATGCCAATTTCCTCATTCATACGAACAAGTAACTGTAACGGCCATTTAGTTCCTAGAGAACAGATGAATACCATAGTGTGGTGATGAAACCTACTTCCTTCGCATAAGGAAAGCCAAAAGACCATGATTTACTTAAATTATTCCCATTGAGATAGCGTGAAGTGGATGTGATAGTTCACTCACCGGATCAATAAGACCGCCTGATGTGGGAGAGGTAAATAAAAACTAGAAGTGATTAAAAAACGGTATTTTGGGAGCGTTAACCACCTTTACGACTCGGATGTACTAATCACAAGAAATAGGGGTTGATTATTGCGACATTTGCACGGCATGCTCAAGTAGTAATGGTAATAAGTGGTGAGAAGTGAGCACTGCTTGCAATGCTCCGCGCTTTGAACTGCATGTTCGAAATTGGAAAGAGATATATGAGTTCCAATTTTGCCGATAAGTTTAAATAACAAAATAACTTGATCTGGTCTAGGTAAGAACAAAACTCATGCAAGACTAATTGTTTGCACCCAATTTAGGTGGTCAGCGCTCGATAGCAGCTATATTTTCATAACGACATGAAACAAGGGTCCTTAGTCCGCAATCGTGCTGGATGTTTTGAAAATAGCCAACATTCGAAACACGATTAATTAATCGCCAATAGATATAAATTTGCATTAGGGTAATGGCATAAACGAACACGAGAAGAAAATGCACATGCCTACTATAGCATAGGTGAATCCAACCCATCCCCCCGGAAACAGACCTGTATGCAAGATGTGACCAATGATAATAAAGGCACTGAATCCTTCGCTGTCAAAACAGTAAAGCTGCGGTTCATAAAAATCACAGTTATTAGTAGAAGAAAATTATTTTCAGATGACGCACACTGGATTACTTGAATGAAGTGCTTTCGCACAAATAAATTGCAGACTCAGTGACAGAATCAGGTCAACATAAGTTATGCTTTATCAACAACCGGTGATTTCATGCGACATGAACCGAATCAGAAGTGGCTCTGATACAAGCTGAAAGAAACGCCAGAGATGGCTGAGGATAAACCGGAGGCTTAAAAAAAACAAGTTTATTAAAGCAGAAGACGATACAAAGCGCCGATGCACTTTGGGGTGTGAAAATAGAGCACGATGCGAGGGCGCCACAGGGCCATGCTCCCACACGAAAATCCAGGCACGTGGACGAAATGAAGGGCTAGAAAGTGGAGAGGGCGCCAGAACGGAGATTACACAACGACAGTTGATGTGCTGGCCGGAGTGCCTCAGTCACGGCACTTACTGCTGAGAATTGAGAAATTTAACAAGAGGGAGCAAGGCCAAGGTAAAGCTATGCAGTAAAGACAACAAACATTGATCGATTCTTTTGTGCGAAAGAAACAGTAGGAGAACTACCTACGGAGTAGAATCGAAACCGTCATCGATGGCATTCGATCGATAGCAGGAAAAACTGAGAAAAGAGGAAAGGGAACAGAGGTGGAAGCTCTCCTCTTAAGAAAATAAGCCAAAAGACACGACTATGGAGAAAAGGGCAGGGAAGCTGAAAGAGGATCTTCGGAGTTCAGCTATTGAACCAGCCAAGCGATTGAATTTTCAACCGTAGAGAGTAGAGAACTCTATTTTAAGTCAATAGAATCTAAAACCCCATCGATGAGTCGGTAGACAAAAGGTATATAAACTTAATAAGTTAGCACCAGAATGATTTCGCACAACTAGAGATGGTCTTAGTAAACAATCTACCCAAAACTTACATGAGAATTACTAATTTTGGTTAGCTATCCCCATTATGACGAAAAGGATGCTTGTCTAGGGTGGATAGCGAGTTGACGTCAGGAAACAAGCACCGCAAAATAAATATTAAGAAACATCAGCTCTAAAAACAGGCGTTATGCTCCCAGACGATTGCCCTGCTTTTCGCAAAACACTTGGTTCCAGGTCGCTAAGGCCGCAGTTCACACAGAGTTCTGCACTAGCACACCCGAAAACCATGTGACAGCACTCAAGGTGTACCAGTTCTGTACGGATGTTTTTGCCATCCACATATAATGAACAAGCATAAGTTAGTGCACACACACAGGCATGGGTAATTAACAATAAAGTGCTACAATGGAAGTAAACCAAGCAATAAGGTGAAGTGGGGTCAAGAAAAGCCCTACTGCGGAAAGGGTCAATCGCTCAACAGGCTGAGTCCACTGCATTAAGAAATATTTGGTCTGTTTTTTCAACCGATTTGGATAAAAAGAAAATATTTTAAGGTGAAAATTAATACACCGAGGTTATCCAATCCCATGAAACTATATAAAAGCAGAAACAGTGAAGTCTGATGGTCGAATAACAGTCACCTATCGTAGCCATTCAAATTATTGATAGATTAAACTTAATCGTTTCGCTTTGTTGAGATCTCTATGTGAAAGTGTTCTACGGTTTTGTGCAGACGAGTGAATTAGAAAATATCATTATTAACTTTGAGAAATAGTTACTTTATACATCGATAAGTTATGCCACTGTCAAAAGAAGGAAAACCGAAAACGTAGATTCGATTGTTGGCAATAGGTGTCGAACACTTAACACCTAAGAAGAGCTACCAAAATCCCAAGGTTAGAGATGGAAGACGAAAATACAAATCGCAGAAAAACTCTGGTCGAAAAAACCGCAAACAGGTGTATCAACCACTAATCATTCTTCTAATACCTTGGTAAATCGGCCAAGTGAAGTTCATTAAGCACCCGAAAATCGCATGGCAAACTGCTGCGTAAGTTGAGGAAATAAGTGTTCAAAGAAAACATTGTAAAGATTGCTTTGCCATCTGATTGATTGAGAGGCTAGTGTTCTGACCTAGTCTTTGGTGGTTAAAAAGGGACAGATTTGGAGAGTTGTGAAATGATGAAAAATGGCATCGATAAACAAACACCAAAACCATAAATCACTTCACATTATGGGATAGTAAACGACGACAAAGGTGCAAGAAAAGTAGTGTTTTCACTCGCATACCGCATTCCATCTTTCTGAATGAAAAAAAATGCTCAAAGAAACGCACAGTATAGTACACAAACAGAGGCACGTGACGCATAGGACACCTCATTCACACTACTCGAGCGCGGATGCGAAACAAAACATGAACAGGCGCCTCCCATGGCGCCATTGGCCACAGTAAGAAGGGCTGGAGTCTGGTGGTACAAATTAGTCTACACCAATTCAATCCACCACACACGAGGCACCAATAGTTGGCTGCGCACTGAATGAATATTCACAGATCCCGATGACATTCTGCTCCTGATAGAACTTCATACTAAAATCCATGTGTGGAACACATGACCTCCACGTCCAAAATTGAGCAGATTTTCTCTTTATTTGAATGAATAGATTTTAATGGTTACGAATGCTTATAGAAACGGAAAAGAAAATATCAAAAGGAAGTGATTATGAGTACATGCGCAAAACTATATAATATTAGTTGATATATTGCAATTTACGGAGGAGCTTGAATTATCTAGTGAAAAACATGCACAGTGTAAGGTAAAGCATTTCAAGCTCAAGGAAATGAAGAGAATCTGCTAAATGTAACAATTGATTTGGTTTCGCAATTTGCTACTAAGGAAACTGTGCAACTAGTCTCAGGCCTTCTAGAAGCAACCAATGAAACTTCCTCCAAACTCCGAAGTTCTTTGTCCATGGAACGACAATCCGAACGCTATAACACATGGGTGTAAACAAATTTGTTGCCATGTGCAAGACCACAAACTACATAAGGGGCACGAAAGAACGAACAACATACGCCCTTGTGAGGTAAGAGTTGTGCTTTTCCGCACTGGCACAGCGAGCTTCGGTGGCATCTAGAACCGTCCTGAGGTGTTGTGCTTCTGCCACCAGCTCCTTTGATCGTGCCTCCAAGGCGGCAAGTTTCTCCATTGTCACCTCTAATGCTGCCGCAGCTGAAGTTCCATTGAATTTTGGTGATGGCGGCGGTGTTTGCTGCTGCATACGCATTGAAAGTGCTTGCAACTCCGACTCCAGATCGCGCACCCGTGACTACAAGGAAAAGCGCTCCCTCAAGTGGATCGTATCTACCATTTTTTATGGACAGCTGGTTTGATTTAGGGAACAAGAATTAATGAATACTCGACCCAGAAAGTAGGAGACTTAAAAATGTGAATAGTAACGATTTTCGTGATATGAAATACTACAAATATTGCCCAAGATATGAGCAGAGCTCCTTTTAGAAAGACAATAGGCACATATGACAATATCAAACCAACAACTAATGAACGTCTTTTGATCACACTTCCAAATAAGGTTACAAAGGGCTGCTTTTGAAAAACCAAACGAACTGATACCAACAACCGAAGCCTCTAGCTGAAAAGGTGTTTGAGTGCTGTTTGGTTTTGTGTTAAGAGTTAAGGCACAAATTAATAGTTAAAAATGTTATTACAGCCAAATTTCCAAGGAGCCTCAGAGAAGCTTCAACGCGGTGTCTTGCTTTCACTTCCATCAGTTTGGTAAAAATCCTTTCAACACTGACACAACTACTACAAATTCATGATGAAGGCCGTCCAAATAATGGATATGTGGGTCAAAGTAGTGTAGCATGAACAAATTCTTGTTCAAAACAAAAATGCTTCTGACCAATTGGCAAGCAGCACTTAAGTAAAATCAGCTCAAATCTAAATTGGGCAATAGCTCTGAACCCAACGCTTGAAACTTTAGTCACTTGTTATCATAGATGACAGATGGAAAACAGTGAGAGCTGAGTCGCAAATTCAGGATAAGCCAAGTCGACGTTAATTAATGGGATTTAATTCCAGGCGCCGAGTGGAAATCAGCTTGAAACACCCAAGATGATACTATGAGACAAATTCGTGGATTCGGCCAAACGAACCATCGCTTACGCAATTCACACTATGCATGAGCTTACTTTGCTGCTAATGGGATAACGCGAAGAATAGCATTACTCAATAAGTCGACCTTTTCAGAGAAACTGTAAACGTCTCTGCCAGATTAGGCGACAATAGGTACAACAAAAGTTATTAAGATTAGATCCAAATTGATATGGAAAATTGGGGAAAAAATGTACCTTAAGAATGGTTAACAGCAGCAACTTAATCGCCTATACGACAGCAGCTCTGAACGCCAGAACGTATCGTAAAATGCTCAGCATTGCTGCATGGCTGGACAAGGCTTATTTCGGTCAGATCGATAAAAGAGAAAGTGAAGAGAGAACTCACATCGAGCCCTGAACACTTGGGACAGGGCATATCAGTGGAAGCAGTAAATGGAGTAGTTCCCTCAACCAAAAGCCCCTTTTTGAGGTTCTCACCCAGCTTGCCGATTTGGTTTAGCGGAGATTCCTTGGTAAAAGTGAAGCCGATGCAGGCCACCTGGCACCCACGGAACACTGAACCCAGAGGTGGACCCTCCTACAGATAAAATCAGCGTCGTTTACAGGTTTAAAGAAGTGTTCATTACACGACTTCAAAGCGTTGAGACCAATGATCAGTATATGAAAACCATTTGTGCTAGAAAAATAAGCATAATGCATCCTGTTAATTTTTCCTCAAATGTCCTACTGAACTGCCTAGAACTAGTATTTGGACTGTTAAAATGTTTTCCAAATATACATACGAGAATACGGACGCCCTAACGAGCAGATAGGGAACTGAGCCAAATGTTTCAGAAGTTGGGTTCCAGATAGGGAAGCAGGCCCTCTAATGAAACACATTAGGCTAATCAATAAAAAAAGATGCGGTAGGATGACAATGACTACTCATGAGAAGTTTTAAATGGAATCTCACTAAAGTTATGATGGTAGAGAATGAGTTAACCACGTTCTTGAGACGCACATACAAATAATTAAAAATGTTGCTACAAAGACTATTTGAATCCACTAATTTCTTTGGCTATGCCAAGAAATTAAAGCGACTTCAGCCTGATAATTTTATGGAATTGAGGGAGCAATGGGCATAAAACGGTTTCAGTAGTTTATTTAGTAAAAGGATTTAAAGGGACATGACCGTAGAAAAAAAGAAAGCCCTTTGAAAGTGATAAAAAACGAAACAACCTCTTCAACAAACATGGATCAAGCAAAAGCGATCTCACTACCGATACCAACACATAGTCAATGTGTGCCTAACAGAATTTGCTCCTAAGGGCACAGAAAACGCATACATGTATTCAAATTTGTGCAGTGCAGCCCAACATTACATTTTGGGATAAAGACTTAAGAAAACAAACGAGACGGTCGATGTAAATATGCCTGTAATGGTGATAAAACGATATGGATATGTGCACAGAACAATACCGATCACCGCACAAGTATAAGTGTAGTGCGGTAACAATAAAATAGTGATAGTGGACAAAACAAGATTTACGTGAGTACGAGCTGACTCCTCGATGTCGAAATTAGATGTGTCCTCTGGGGACTTGACTTCTGGTTGGTAAGGCGCAGGTTCTACGTTAAAATTATAGTGCATAAATTGCCATAATCACAATAAGGCGATAAAGCCACAACATATACATACGTGATCGAATGTTTTCCCAATCAATGCCAATGAAAAATGGATGCTTCACAATTTCTTCGATCCCATTCCGTCCATAGCGCTGCTTTCTATCGCATATAAAGTGCTTGAGCAAGTCCTTGGCGGCATCCGATACACCTTCCTCTTCTTCGGGGAATTTGAAGGTTTTCTAAGCACAACTTAGGCATCAGAAGTCAGCCCCGATAAAGATGGAATTTAGTGACTGAAGCTAAAATTACTTCAAAATTCATTATTTGACTGTAGGTTTGAATCAAATTCTCGCTGTAAAAGGGCGTTTCTCCGAAAAGCATCTCGTACATCACTACACCTAGAGACCAATAGTCGCACTCCACCCCAAATGTTCCATGCGTATCTTCGGCAGCTCTGAGAATTTCTGGTGCGATATAATCCGGAGTACCAACGGCAGCGGTGTTTCTTATCAAGCCATCATTACCAATGCGAAGGCAAGAGCCAAAATCCGTCAGAACAATGTGCCCCGACCTAGGGAGAAATAAAGATATGACAAGCTGTAGGAGAACATACGTCTCGAGAAGGACGTTGTCCGGTTTGATGTCACGATGAACGTAGCCCAGTTCATGAAGCGAATTTATTGCTAGAACAAGTTCAGCTAGATAGAATCGAGATATGTCTTCGGGGATCTGATCATCGAACTTGCTCAGCATAGTTAACATATCGCCCCCATTGTAAAATTTCATGACAAAATACTAGAAATAAGGGTTAGGTGTGTCGACATTTACCAGATATTTTTCATCTTGAAATGTGTGATGGAGCTGCGTTATCCAAGGAGATCCTTTTATCATCCCCTTGACAAGAACTTCTCGTTCCTCCAGGAAACATGCTCTCTAGATGATTTAAGGGTAAAAAACAAAGTTTACATCCGAACGCTTGAGCATATCATACTTGTGCAGAGATTTGAGAGCGAAGTACTCATTTGAAGACTTTGATCTCACAAGAGAAACTTCACCAAATGCACCCGACCCGATAAGCCGAATAGTTTCAAATTCAGAACGAGACAAACGGTAAGACTCGATTTTTTCCACGAGAGATTTCACTAGAACATAATCCCACAGCATCTGTATTACCTGAATTGCAAAATTTAGAACAATTTCTTTCGTTTCTATGTTGCAAAGAACTGCATTCGTAATACAAACAAGTTAAAGCGTCGAGAAGGAATTCAACATTAAAGCTGTTCGTTTCTTCTGAATAGTTGTTCAAGTAGAGCTGAAGAAGTTCTTCACAGCGCTCCTTGATCGTTTTCATGACCTATGCACCGTAGGTAAGGGCTGAGAGCAACCTTAAGCCCTCGCCCATAGACTCCAACAAAAAGCCAGATAAAATAATTGGGGAAAACTGATTTGCGCGGACTCGATTAATATTCGTTAAAAGAGTGATATATAAAGCTTCTTTGACAAACAAATAAGACCTATATAGCTGGTAAACCAATGGATTTATAAGAATTAAGAAAAGATGCATATGTGTACAGCCCTAAGGCATTATTATAGGGTTCAAAAAAAGTTGGCTCGATAAATAAAACAAAGAAATAAAACATAACATAATTAGGAATAACCTGCCAAATTTTGCATGGATTATTTAAATATTTAGGTTATGTGATCTGTATGCCTTCAACTAGGATTATTTTGCATGTTCCCACCGAAAGAAGCTTTTCGACCAAGAACGGTGGGCGAATAACTTTTATGAACTGGGATATTATTTATGATGAGATCTGTTTGAATCAGCAGTTACTGAACGTCTGCCTCCTAGTGCGAGCCAGTTAAGACAGTCCAAGCCAAAGCACGATCTCTTCCTCTTCCCTCCAAACACAGGTATGTCGTCCCAACTAACGCCTCCCAACACCAAATGGGAGATCTCGGAGTGGTGCAAAAGCCTCCACTAATTTTATTTTACCCACGTCGCCTATGTGCAAATAATAACTGGACAAATATCGAAAACCACATTGAATTTCGTTAATGCAACAAGCCATGCAGCGATGACACTAAATTCAGTTACTTGACCGAGCATTACATAATTCCCGATCCGACCCAGAGACATTTGATTGTCTTGAAACTAGCAAAGATCTGTAATGGTGGAGGCGACAGAATGTCTCGCCTGTCTCGAAAGTCTCAGTCGATGCACCAATATACTTAACCAATTATTATGATCCAGTATGCCAGTATTGATTTTATTCGAGAACAGAAAAATAACCAGTTTCAAACCAGATAGATCCACTGCCTGTAGGCACAGCGAACTTATTGTAATGCTTTGTTTATGTGACCACATGACGTTTGACGGTTATTTTAAGATTGGTCTGTACCTTGTATTCGTAGGTTGAACTTCGGGTCATGCTTAGGCCCATTCGCTATGTTCTCTTCGGAATACATGTATCCCGCCTCACTTACTGCCTTCTTCCTCCCGACGGGGAGTCTCGAGACGATGCACTTATGAAAAAGCCTCCGTGAAGCTACTAATATTGATAATGTTAATGTTTGAATCGTGCGCTGGTGGTGCATCGGGTCGCAATTATGATGATTTCGACGTATATTGTCAGTCCATATTTCACACAGTTTATTAAAGAACTCAGACGCACACCTTGTGCAGCTTTAATGCCTCTTCGTAAATTTTGAATTATATCGTAAATAGTTGCTTTTAAATATTGACAGCGACGCTCGCAATGAAATGTCTAAGTCTGACTAAAACCTCTAGTTTTAATTGAAATGTGGAGAATTAATTACCGAGAGTCCCACATCTGCTGTGGCGTTCGGATGTAAAGCGGAAATAAAAAATGTTTATTGGATTACAATTTGTTGGCATAATCGCAAACATTCAGAAGGATTAAGTATAGTTATTTGAATCAATGAATTTTTTACCCTTTTTTTGTTTCCCTGAAGAACTGCTTGCTTCACACCCTTCACCGTTGTAGGGCATGAGCTCGGAGTGATATTTCTTACTGATTGGTTCGTAGCTTCGACGCCATAGCCGTTGTCTACAGTTAGTGCGCTGTGTTACTGACTCGAGTTTCCTCAGTATTTCTGAAGTTCTTAAGCATGGAGGATTGTTCACAGTCGGAAATAATGGTGCGGCTGCGTTCCTCGATGAAAGTTCTTGATTCTCTTCGGAACGAGCACAAGGCTGCACTGGAGGAATTGCTTCAAGGGGGTGAAAGTAACGGCCAGCCAAAACCCCCCAAAGTCGAGTCATTAGAATCCTTTATAGATAAGATTGAACGAGCAATCGGTGATGGAGATGTATGTGCTTGTGATTTAGATCTATATTTCCATAGGAGCTCCTCGCTGTTTCCGACTATCTTCAAATTTCTGAAGCTGAGAAGCAGAGACTAAAAGCTCAGAGTAGACGTCTTCTACACGAGAATCGATGGTTACGGGAAGAGCTCGCCAATCTGCAAGTCCAATATCGCCAAAGTCAGGTGAAGGTAGTTGCACTAGAAGAAGAAATCACTAATCTCAAATTTGCTAATGAAATGGCGAAATGCGATGCACCTGACCAGAGCGGTCTTCCCGGCGGTGATGGCAGTGGCAAAGATACTAAGTCTGGCGATGGCCAGGATAAGGATGAGAGTGACCAGGATGGTGGGTAATTACTTATGGGCCCTTATTTGCTTAATTGAAATTCAGTTATGTCGTCCAGTCAGACAACGATGCTATCGCAGATTGTTAACAGCTACGAGATTCCTGCTAGACTACGTACATTGCACAACTTGGTTATTCAGTACGCCAGTGAAGGCCGTTATGAAGTCGCAGTTCCCCTCTGTAAACAGGCTCTAGAAGATTTGGAGAACACTAGTGGTCGTGACCATCCAGATGTGGCCACTATGCTTAACATCCTTGCACTAGTTTACAGGTACGTATCACTTCAAGTTCTGTATTTTTTGTCGTTGTTAGGGATCAGAACAAATATAAGGAAGCAGCACACCTTCTCAACGAGGCCCTGGTTATCCGCGAAAAGCATCTGGGTCCGGATCACCCTGCCGTATGCTAAAAGATCGCTGATGGATTTTATCGTTACTCTAGGTTGCCGCTACGCTGAACAACCTTGCTGTCCTTTATGGAAAACGGGGAAAATATACGGAGGCGGAACCTCTCTGTAAACGAGCTCTGGAAATAAGGGAAAAGGTTTGTGAAGTCGCTATCTCTACCTTCGTTCTTCTAGGTCCTGGGGTCGGATCATCCTGATGTCGCCAAACAACTAAATAATTTGGCTCTTCTGTGTCAAAACCAAGGAAAGTATGCGGAGGTAAGCTAGCAATGCATATATTTTCAAACTGTGGTCCAAAAATATTATCGCTTCACTTAGACATGGGGATTTAATGGATAGTTGTTGAATAATACCAATTCTTCGTTTGCCTATAAAACCCAGGTTCACGATTACTTGCTTCGAGCTCAGCGTATATATGAGGAAAACGATGTACCACAAAGGGTCTTCAAGACTCTCACTACTATGGTGAGACAGTGTTTGTACAGCGACAGTGCATGAGATTGCCTCAGACCTCTATCATCTTCCCTCATCGTCTAGTTGTCTCACTTGTACTCTTCATTCTTTTTTCCGCATGACTGGTGTTGTAACCGAATTCTCTGCTGAATTGCCTGTCTGCCTGCCTTCTCGTCTGATCGGCATTTGTGATCAGGTGGAACGTTACTACCAACGCGCCCTCAATATTTACACTTTCTGCTTCGGTCCTAATGATCCCAATGTCATCAAAACGAAAACCAACTTGGTATGTGCTTTTTTCCTCTGCTTCCCTGCATGTCGCTGCTCACCACATTGAAACAGACGAAACATAACTCTTCCACTCATTCACTCAAAATGTCGGCATTCAAAGGTGGATTATGGCAGATGATAAATGCTACCCCTACCCATTGCATTGGCATTCGCTGGAAATATGCGTATTTGTGTAAAAACCATCAATTGTGACATTCTGCATGCTTCTCTGTGGATATCGAGGAAACTAATAACCAACTTTTTGTTTTTAGGCCTCGGCCTATCTGAAGCAGGCCAAATACGCGGAGGCTGAAGCCCTTTACAAGGACATTCTTACTCGGGCTCATGAAATGGGATTCGGCAAAATCACAGATGAGAATAAGCCCATTTGGATGCTGGCGGAGGACAGGCAGAACGGGAAGTGGGACCCTGCTATCGCTAGCCAAGCCATGACTCAACGCACCACCCTAATGGAGAAGTATGACTCTGTTATTTGCATATTTTTTCCATTCTGATGAAGTAGTTCTTTAAGCATGGTTTTGTAACGGTTCTGTAAGAACATGAAATCGATGGAGCTTTGAGTGTGATAAGTGTTTTTGAACATTAGTAGTTTCGTCTTCTTATCTTATTTGTTTCGGTTAATGCAATTCATCGCACCTTTCCTATTCAATTCGACTAAATATTCAAACAGCTGATTTAGCTGCTCACGCCTGCTTTCAAGTATTGTTCCTTTTCACTAACGAAGTAACGCAAAACACAGCTGATACGAGATAACCGAAGTCCGTTCAGTCGCCTGCATTAGAGATGAAATGCATACAGGTGCATCTATTAGTACATCTTGTTATCAGAAATAGTTGCATTTATAATTATTGCTTATTTCCTTAATTGGACTCGAGATTGATGCGGATTTCGCTCTTAAGATGAATGGGTACCAGGGGCGAAATGCCTAGCCATAGTCGCATCCTACAATTTTTTTCTGTTTGATTCCAAGGTACGGGTACTATCGTCGCTTGAAGAAATGAAGGGAGGTCGAGGGTGCTACTACATCCCTTTCCAACTAAATTTCGTCTCACAACATAATTTCCCGTCATTCCTTAAGAGGTCTCGTATTATCTTCGCGGACCAAAGAAGCTTTCCTTCGGCTGATTAATCGCTTTTGATAAGAAATCGGTATAGGTCATTACATTGGCGTACTGAAGCATATGAGTGCCTTATGGTACACACAAGCAATAAATTATTCATTTTGTAGGATTTATGCACATCAAAAGAAATCATTGCAGTGAGTCATACTTAAAACTGCTCTATCTCGTTCAGCCAAAACGTGTTCCAAGCTTTTTGGCGTGATGACCATAAGTACACTACTGCAAATTCTTATCCTACTGTCTGTTTGGACATGGACGGGGTTTTGGGGACGAATGTTTTAAAGCGTGGACACAATACTGTACTGCGCATTTACACCCATACATTGACTTATTTTTTGTTTATTCTGTAAATTCTCAGGGTCGTTGGTAATCACTCACTTACTTTTGAAGCCATAGATGTATACTTTACTCAGGTTTGTGGGCTTTCTGATCCTGCATCCGATCTTATGTGTAGGCTTGCTTGAGTGGCGTGCTGATACCAGCACTACACATTCTAACTCTTACCGCAGTCCATTTTATTTTTACGCGAAACTCCGCGGGTACGACTTCGATCACCGCCTCCTAATCCAGCTTCTGTTCATAGTTGTGGCTTGGTCCAATTCTTACTCATTTTGTCCATTCATTCATTATAGAAGTTCTGTTGTTTGGTTTTCATTGCACGCTCTAGCGATGAATAATTAGTGTAACCTTAGGATGCGAATCACCCTTAAGATTGCCATCCTTGCTTTAGCCTGTCTATTATAACACGTTTAAAGACTCATTCTTTGAATACAAACTCAGGCTGTGCAAGCCAGCGGCGTTTGCATATTTATGGCGGGTCCATTAAAAATGAGCAGTTTCATCTAGTTATGTTTGTAGAACGCCAAGTTTCGCCTACTTAAGGGCTTATTAATTTGTTGGAGACGATAGCATCACAGACCTCCGTTTTTTTGCAGTGGTTTCGTTTGCCTACGTATTTGGTCCCGTTTTACAGTCCCAAATTGTGTACAGGCACCTAGTGCCGCGGTTATCCATTGTAGCTGTTAATCGTTATAGAAATAACACAGGAGCATTGCTTTTTTTCCTGTCTTTTACAGTCCCACGGTGGCCACTAGTCTACGAAATTTGGGTGCGTTGTATCGCCGCTCGGGCAAATTCGAAGCCGCCGAAGTCATAGAGGAGTGCGCTGGTCGCCCCGGCAAGGCGGTTGAGGTTACTGTCCTCTTTTATTTGTAGTGATATATTAAGTAAAGTAGAAGGCAGCTTTGGATTCTCGGGTGGCCACTATAGCTATTTCGTTTTGGAGCATCAAGCATGCATGAGCAATATTATGGATTATGGATTCTTTTCTCTACCCATTAATAATCAATCTGCGTTTCATCTTTTTTTGATTAGGGCACAAAGATCAAATCGTACCTTCTGAAGAAGTGAAAGTCCTCACGCGCTGTTGTAGGTCCTTTTACAGTATATTTTTGTCATCATAACGACTTGCGTTTCTCCATAATTCGTTTGGCTAATTGGAATTTAAAATTTCTCGCAATGGTTGTGTCTATGTGGATTTATTCGTTTTGATAGCCAGGATGCGATTTTCTACTTTTAATGAGTCAGCTTTCGTGGTATTTTGGGTGTTTGTTTTCAATACCCGATCTAATCTAGTAAATCTCATACAGTAATCAGACACAGAATACAGAATACCTAAAATGTTTCACTGAGGTTCGTTCATTCTTGTTTAGTGTAAAAAATATCGCGTTTTGCAATATCATTTAGCACTCTACATCTATTTTCATACGATTGCAGCCGGGGCTGAAAGACGTCAAACTTAGCCTCCTCCACTTGAAGTTCGCTTGTAAGTGTAGTTATAGTAGTGAGGAGAACGAGGTTGAGGTGATTGTGTAATGCTGCTAGGATGTCACTACTCGCCATGGAGAAGTCCATCGCACTATCTTTCGAAGTGTTGACATTTAATTGACCTACAGTGACAAGTCGGAACGATAGGGCGAAACCAAACAGCCCTAATTTTTTATACGACTGAGTTGAGTTGCGTAGTCAGCGTCTTTTTGTGAATTGATGAACTGGCCTTCTTTAGGTAGGATTGCATTGTTATTGTCAGCAACATTTTGCTGAAGTGATAGTACTTGCGTCATTTTTTTTCTCATCCGAAGGCTTATCTCTTTTGGGGTATAAAAACTCCTATCTCTGGTTCATACGAAGTAATTGTGCCTGAGTCATCAACAGATGTTTTAGCGAATAGACTGCAACCCGCTTGACGCCTAAATGTGCATACACCCACCATCCGTAAGAGTGGGGCTAACGCTACCAGGAGGATCCCAGTTGTTGGAATCTCCTGAAGGATTGATTGGCTAAGCATGGTGGCCAATGGGATTTATGTTGGTTGCGGATTCATACCCACTTAAGCACCATTTCGCCCCAGGCTAGTCAGTGCTTTCCTTGATTCATGCAATTCCTCTCATTGGTTTTAACCTTTCGACTTTCGACTCTTCCATTGGGATGGCAGGTTTTATTAATGCAAGTGAGGTTCCCATGCCCTATGAACATCTCAGGAATAGAATTTATTAGTGCAGCTGTGGAATTGAGGTTAAAGCCATCAGCTCTTGAAAATTGTTTACGGTCTTGTGTTAATCACAAAGTACGGTGGGTTTCACCATCTACCGCCTTTTTATTAATTAAACAAAATTTCATGAGATGCTGTGCTTTTGTGACGGTTCTGGCCAGTGATTTCATGCTATTAACCAAGAAAAGGACATTTATGGTTATCAGGTCACCCAAGTAATCCGTTAAGTGCGGTCAGCTGAGGTCTGTAAATACGTGCATGCATGTCTGCAATTTTTTTCATAAGATCTACTCATATACAGTCTGTTCTAATCCGCATAATTGTTTACAGTATTTGTGGTTTTGATCAAATGTTCTTTCCCGTGCAAAAGCCTGAAGGTACTAGCCGTAGGATTTTACACTCGAAGAAGCTAGGGCCAGTGAACTTCAAGTTTCTTGGGTAGACTTTTCGTTATCAATTGTGTCCGTGTTTTTGATTGGTGGCAATATGGACGCAGATCGTGCATACGTGTATTTCACTTTTTAAATGGATCTCCACGTTTGTGATTTATGACTGGGTTTTTTCAGGAACATTGCACACACTGTAAATATAGCTGACGTAACTAGTTAGCTATCATCATACCCAATACGGACACGGTGGTGGTCATCCATTCGAGTCGATGGCATCGACATGCTATCCATCCAAGTTTGTGACAAGGAGGACAGTAAAAGCCTATTCCTAATTTAATTATTCTGGAGGTCATGATTACATTGCCTACTGTCTGTAGAGCTTCGTTGATGAAGAACGTCGTTGCCACTGCCATCACCATCAGTTGCCCAAACGTTGACAGTGAACAGTGAACCGCTGGCTCGTTTTTATACCGTTGCTGCCACGACATTGTTACACTCTTTACCGCGGCGGTTATTTTTTTCTCACCTCTTATCGCAGTTTCATACCTTTCTTCTCAGCTCACCTCGATGCAGGTGCAGTTACCGTTGTTGGCATTACATTCTTTCCTCTTTACTATGCCTCTCCCACTCAGGCTGTGCTCTACACCATCTTGGTGCCCAAATTCTCGGTTATTTTCTTTGTTTTCAGCCACCACTTCCCACCATGTTCGTTTGCCTCCGTTGCTTAATGTGACAATTCTTTTGATTTTGGCGTGTGCGTGGCCTCCTTACCCTTCTCCTTTCCCTCATTTTTTTGAAATCCTGAATCAGTTTCCAAATTCCCCTTCGAGGCTCAGCAATTGTGTGTTATTCCTCGTATCGCATCTGACATCCTTGAACAAATGAAAACGACTTACATTAAAGTTTTTTTTCAATAATTCTATGGGCACGTTTTCCTTTGAATGCGTGAACTATGTGATGAGGGCGTAATTGTGCATGAATTATTTGCACCCAGGCGGGGTGAGTATTTCGAAAATAGGTGGGAGGGAATGTCACACACGGTCGAGGGGTGTCGAAATGTGTTCCTCAGGTCGCGGAGGTTGTAGCTGGTGTACCCTATCGGCAAGCATTTATTAAGAAAGGTGATCGAATAAGTCCAGCTCACTGTCAATGCTTCGATCGTATGAGTAATGGTTTGGCTTTGCTGATGATGGATGATATCTAAGGTACCAAAGCAAGGAGCGCACCAGTAATCTTTTTGGCAAACCTCTCTAACCTCTGTGACTTGAGATGTCTGAGTCTTTTGCTTTGAAGAGTAATGCGTTTCTATACCACCAATTGGTGATGAGTTGTACGCTAATTTGGGGACGAAGGGCAACTCTGCTCTGACCTTTTACTTGATGTCCCACGATAGTTACGTAACTTCTGTGTGCACCCCTGTTGGATCCGTTCCCATGCTCAGTATTGGAAGTGCAGGGAATATTTTACGCCAGTGTCGGCATACTACAGTGGTGGTAATGAAAATGACTCCTCGCGTCCATAGAGTAATTCTCGACCAATCTGATAAGCATCCCAATGGGATCAACTTGCCGATAGTGAAGCAGAACCAATACAAGAGTAGCTACCGTTCTCGACCAACCGAAAGAACGACGATTGAAAGCGTGCAGTTAGCCCCGGCTAAGGGTGAGCCCACGTCAACACAAGACCTCCTCCAGGTCAGCGAGACGACTCTCATACGCCCGGAGCGTGCTAAAGTGATGTGCGACAAAAGCACTTCGAACGAGACCTTTCAGCAGCATTGTACATTTGTGAGTCCGTAAATTTTTGGAACTCATCAAAGGACACCTTTAAAATTGATACGACGAACTACAAGTGAGAACATCAACGACAGGGCGGCGAAATCAAACACTTTACCACATTATAATCGCGACGAAGACTAATATTACACTCGCAAGAGCTGATTAGCACTTATACTTGTGGTACAAGTGTATTATTTACGAATTGCAAGTCGCGGTGCTAAGTAATGGGGCAGGCAAAGAGGAGGGAGTGGGTTGCGCATGTACAGAAGAGATGCCATAAAACTTCAGAACTTGGCGCATAGCCCAGGTCTTCCGTAGAGCGCGATGATGGTTTTTCCGTTGCCTAGGTTTCCTCTTGGAGATGGAATTGGGATCTGTCATTGTGATTGACAAATGCTTTTTCCGGCACGACAATGGATTTGGACCGGAAGGACCATGCTTCTTTTTTTTATTTTTCATACAGTCTTCCTTTTGCAGACCAAATTTTTCCTCGATCTGTTTCAGCCTTGCCGACTGGAAAGATGTGAAAAGAACAGAAAAAGTGCACTTGAATAAGGAGACATGAAATGCCATATCAAGAATTTATGGTTATTTGAACAATTAGGTGACGTTGGTGCTCATATCGAGCAAGTTCCAGATTGGGCTTAAAAGAGGTGATTCGGCTTGATTACTTCCAAGCAAATTTTGACTAAGTCAACTCATTTTAAAAATAACCAAAGTGAAAACAAATGAATGTCCGCGAAGTGAGCAAGATATTAAAATTAGGCTGTTGTGCCAAATCAAAACGAAGAGGACTGTAAGAATAGGCTTACCTCACACGCATTAACAGCGAGACTTTGCAGCGTCAGATTGTCAATTATATCCTGTGTGGTTTTAGGTATTGGCTCAATATTAAGACAACGCTGAGCAATAAACAATACAGGCATCCCAGGAACAGTGCGTGCAAGAGCCTGCAGTTCTACATCATTCGAAGCTAACGCGAAAAGAAAGCATTTTTCACCCTCTTTTATCCTTCTGAATATTTTACTACGTCTTCGAGCGGTACGTATTCTCTTCCGAATACACCAAGCAGCACCAAGAGCGGAGTTGTATTCATGCCGACACGTAAGTGGGATGTAACCCTTGAGAACTTCTAAGGCGCCAGAAAATAACGCGCCGATGGCTTGACATTCAGCTATAACACAGGAGGATGTTACAGGTCGAAAATTCCGCCCGACCATATTGGCGATGCTCTCAGATATATTTACATGGTTCATTAGAGCCTGTCGAACAAAAGTGTGATCCATGAATATTTCAAGGCTTTTCGTGGCAAGACCAAAGCATCTCTCATAGACCGACAGAACTTTCATAAACTGGCGCGCCCTCCTAACCCGCATTTTGATAGTTGGACTTCTAATCAACACCACTTCATAATACTGATCTGACCAATAGGTATAAAGGAGGAAAATGGGTTAACATTTCTGCAACAGTTAATCATTTTTAACCAAGAAACGCTACTATTAAGCGCATTTTGTAGCTAATTAAAAAATTTCTTACGCCAAGTTCCGTTTATCTCGATTGCCCTAGAATACTATAGCAAGTGCTAATAGCAATATGTCAGAGCATTTAATCTTAGCAATTACACGAAATAGTTTATAAAATTAAAATTGATGCTGAATCGTAATAGACAAGGAGCACTTAATACCAGCAATTTTCTTGCATCAGCAATATCATGCCTTCCTTAATTTTAGTTTAGTTCCCCACCTTTGGTGGTGAGTAGTGAACTGGTACGGATTGTGACAAACCTATTTTGAAATTGAGCACAACACTGTTGTGAGTATTTTATTCTTTCATATCTTATGCTTGAACCTCACTACATGGTCCGTCTGTTTGCTAATTCAGGGGCGAATGTGCACTGGTGTACCTACGTGCCGACTAAACGAGAACAAAAGTTGTTAACTTATGGTAAAGAACCCTTCTGCCTCTCTTCAATAACTGTCACAAAGTTAACATGAATACATTTTTGTTAAAATTATGCGAATTGGAAAGGAGGCGGAAATCGTTTCGAACCCTGTAGGAATGGAGTGCGAGAACGGTTCTTGGGACCAGCTTGTATATCTAGCTATCATCCGACCACTGCAGTCTGTACCCACCTTTCAACCGGCTCCCTTCTCACATAACGAAGGGCGATGAGAGCGGGGAAGATGGTGCTACAGAGCACGCCTCAGTTAGTAGTTTTGCGTGCGAATGTCCTAACAGACGAAATATGACAAAGGAGATGCAATAATTACAGACAACCGCAGTTACCATGGAAATCATTCCTCATTATCTTGTTTCCACTTTTCCCCGAAGCAAAAGTTAGACAGAGAACTGTAGAGCTTTAATAATTTTGAAAGAACTTTGACAGTAGGGTCACTAGGGTTTGGTTACTCCTTCACTATGGGAAGGGATGGTCTCTTTGAATGCTCCTTGTATTCTAGTCACCTTTCATTAAACCTAGGTGAAAAGCGTTTATCGTCGTAATGTTAAGACCCCATCTGGCGAAATATACAGCCATCATGCAGATGCAACGCCTATGGCATTTGAAAGCTTTCGTGGTTGTGATACTTTTGGCTACCTTTCGCCCACAACCCAGAACCATAATTTGTGGGCAATGAAAACTAAATGTAATTTAACAAATCATTCCAATATGGGAACTAGCCTATTTTTAGTGTCTCAGAGATGTTTAGATCGATGCAAAGTAGCTATCGATAGCTTAGCCATGCTCTTACCAGTAAATAGTAAATCGTGGAATGTATACATGACGAATCTAGACTTTTTCGTGACATTGTAACAGCCAACGAACAAACAAAATGTAGTGCTGAAAACAAAGATGCGAAGGCGCGGTCCCTGTATTAAATTTCAACTGAACTTGCGAAACAGCCCCTTTTCAGATGAAGATGAAAAGGTCGAACAAGGACCAAGCCTGAGCACCTTCGAACTCACATCTTAATGAGAACAACACCATGGTGGATTCCAAGTCCTAATTATCCTGTTGCAATAGGAAGTCATTTTCAGGCCCATATCAAGGAGTGGAATCTTTCACTTAACTTTTCGAGAAAGTCAATTCCAAACATAAAAGTAGAACACCATATATAAGCAAAACCGCATTTTTGCAGTTTCTATTTAACAAACTTTTTTCACAATTTAACAAGTGAGCGTGTGTAAGGTCATAAAGTACTACTTGTCATATCATCATTGTAATTGATTTAACACTTTCCCCAGCTCTAATTTGTGCTCAATTGCGTAGCAGTTAGTGGGACTTCGGACGATGAGACAGTTCCTCCATTTCGCTTTTGATTCACAGTCTTCACAAGTGGTCGGATGATTACACGAATCCCATCATCTGCCTCAGGTTCAATTCGCTTCTGCGAGAGGTTGGTACTTAAACCCAACAGAGCACTAAGCAAGAGAGAGGATATAAGTAGATGCAAGTCGTTGCTAATTGGCATGGCGGATGCGCTCATGCATGGAAGTTGACTTAGGGAGTTCATAGGAAAAGCATAGGTGTCAGAGAAATAATCTGCAACATACATATTTTGGGGATAGTTTACAATAGCAGGATCAAATAAAGGGGGAAACCCGTTTAAATTGTAGGCATGTGGCCGTATCAACGTATCACGCGAAAGAGGTTGCGAATAGCTCCTAAAAATATTTGCTGGTCGCCGGGGTGGAAAACACGTGGCTTGCGGGTACCTAAAGTAGTGATTCGCTTCCACGCCTCTACGTGATGCTGGGGGTACGACACACCTACAACAATGATAAATTGCTCCGCTAATATAATTGCTCACTCAAAGAACCACGGTGGGTTTGAAAGTGTTGGTCCTTCAACATATTGGTGAAGTCTTGTTGAATTGCTCTGGAAGCTTCGCCTTCGTCTAGGGCATAAATATTTATCCTGATAGGACATCGTTTGTTGTGTTCAATTAAAAGGACTATTTGTGACCTTAGCAAACAAGGTGGATCAGGTGTTCTGAGGCAAGACACAATGTTTACAAACAGAGCGAGAAATCGTTATTTCGCCCCTAAGCTGAGCAGACGTATGATCAGCTGATCACAACTGTCAGCCAATGATGCACCGACTAGAGTTTGCAGCCTCGACTACCCACGTAATCTGATTAGCGATTAAAAGATGGCGCTATTCATTTGGAATACAATAAGTCAAGAAGCGCGCAAAAAATCTCCCTTACAAAGCTGGAGAACGCTGCCTATCTGTGACTGAAAATGACCAATTAATGAACTTAGCGTATTAATGCGTTTACAAAACAGTAAGAAACGAATGTTCTTCTCACACAAATCGATCGGAATAACAAAAGCATGAATTTTTGCAATCATTAAGAAAAGCGCTACCATGACGGCGTTGCACAAGTGCAGTTAACACAGAAGCCCACCAACATGACAATATAATTTCAAACAATGAGTATTCAATCCTTGACCTTGCCTTATGTACTTAGTAAAACCTCAGAGTAGCTAATCTCTCCTACCAGAGGACGGATCTCAAGGTTATCCTAGAATGCCCCAAACCAAAAGCACCTCATTCCCACTAAATTCACTAAGAGAAGTCCCCAATCCTCACAGAGCAATCACCACACCAATCACCAGTGCTCCAAAACCCTCGAAGAGCGCAGTAAGAGTATGCCAACCGAACCAAGGTGAGAAGAAACACGCCACTGAGAAGTCAAACGGAAAACACAAAGACAGAAGGATCCGAAGAGTGAACCAGTAGAAGCTTCCATCACCGCACCTCCTGGACGTTTACGCAGGGAACAACTCCCGCAACACAATAATTTCCAAATTACTTGGAGAATATTTGCAGAAAGGAACTTATAATTTGTACAAACATAAAACTACCCTCCAATTAGGTACCTAGAGGGCGGAAGCGAATTCGAGAAGTACATAAAATCGTCCACCTGTTTACACTTTCGTGCCGGTAAAAAATTCATAGAAATGAAGAGAGGAACAGAAGAGGAAAGGAGTTTGCAGCAATGCCACTATACACATGAACATGCAAGCATACATACACTGATAAATTCGCAAACACTCATGCATTCCCCTATGTGAACAAGACTATGTACAGAAGAATGAGAAGTGCCGCCCTCCTTCATTAGGGTGGAATTCTTGGTGGCAAAATGCGAATCGCGTTGGGTGCGGTGGACCGAACCACCCGAATGATCTTTCTCCCCGGAAGAACGGCAGTGGAGGGAGTGTTTGTAGCGGTAGATGTGTTTATTGTAGTATTGGCAGTTGCCGAGGTGGAGACGCTGGTTACACCGGTGAGGGGTGAACTGAGGCGGATGACGGGACGTGGAGCTGATGGCATCGCAAGTTGGGACTCGACCGCTGCCGAAGCTTGCGAAACTCTGCGCACGACTTGTACGTACTTTGTAGGTGGTTGAACAGGTTGCGTGATCCTCTGCTGGTAAATCTCTCCCGAAGGAGTCTTCAATTGTCTCGTAATGACAAAAACAGGTCGACTTGAGGAACCACTAAGGACTTGTCGAAGCGGCTGCACCGAGTGCGCCCCATTGGAGAGGGTCTGCACAGAAACTGTAGGCTCTTCTTGAATGCATTGAGTTTGTGAAAAAGATGAAGGATGGTATTGTCGCGGTGGGGCGATGTTAGCTGAACGCATAGGGATTCCAACAGTAGGGCGGAAGAAGGACTGGACCCGAGGTTGGGGATTCAACATCAGACGATGCCGCGGTGTATGGCACCTTACCCGCGGATGGTATTGTGTGGATATTGGCTACAATTTAATCAGTTAGGTCAGTTCAAAGGTAATAGCTACATATAGACTCAGTGTTTGGCACACCACCTGATATCGGCTTAAAACCTCCTCCTCGCGGGATGGGAGTGGTGGCTGCTTGAAAATGGAGGTTTCGCTCCGGGGTTCAACAGCGGTTTGCATGAGGCTGTTAAGTACCTTCGAGTTGTGTTGAAGCATTCCAGTGGGACTCACTTGTTGTTGGTGTAAACCTCGGCTAGGAACACCAGTTGATCCGGAGGACGAAGAGTAAGAAAAATTGGAGCTTGGCAGGGTGTAGGTAGCGTCATACTGCCGACAATAATGACGAGGGTTTGACGACTGATGTGGTTAAAAAAAGGACAAAAACCATCACACCATCACGAACAAGAATTTAGAGAATTATGAACGTAAACACAAAAAGTATGTACTCGAATGATGCTAGGAGTGATTCTATCCGAATGCCGTACACTTTCAGAATCCAGCCGTCCAGATGGCTGGAATATTGTAGGCGGTCGTCCTCGTTGCCTGGCTCCGACTGAATAATTGTCAACAGAAATCATTGAATCCGAGCGCACTGAAGTGGAGGCAGAGTCTTCCACATCGTCAGCGTACAGGGATGAAGAAAAGCGCCGTCTACGTTTCACAGGAACGACTTCGCTACCATCACGCCGCCAGTAATCGGGGAGACGTCGCCGTCCTCTCGTCGAAATACCACTTCCAATACCAGTCCCACGACCTCGTCCACGACCTCTTCCTCGCTTTGGTGGAGGTGCTGTAGCGAAGGCAGAGGCAATGGAGAAGTCTCGACGACTGGAAACAGGAGACGGAGACCAGATATCAGTGGCCTCCGGTTCATCCTCTTCCTCTTCTTCATCCCAGTCCACGTAGTCCGGGATGGCCAGCCGTCTACGACCTCCGGTATTCTCGCGGTATCGCGCATGGAACCACGCCGCTCTGTCCACTGAAGCCTCCTCGTTATCTGATGGCTGATGAAGACGAAATTGAGTAGTAGTGGAAGAGCTAGCATCGCTGTCTCGACTCTGGATAGTCGAGCGCTCATTGTCTATACGGCGCGAGGCACCCCGCCCAATGGACGTGGCTCCACCACGGATACGAGGTCCGCGTCCGCGGAAGTGGCCACCACCACGACATCGTCGACCTCTCATACCACGTCCTATCATCTCTTCCATCTCTTCTGCCCTCTCCAGTTCATCCAATTCCGCCAGACGAGCGGCCTCCGGATCGTAGTCCGGATCACAGTAGAGAATCTCATCCTCTTCCAGCTCTGCTCGCTCTTCATCTGCTTCGTGGAGAGCTTTTAGGGTGTTCAACTTCCACTCTTTCTTAGATTCTTCGATTTGTGCCTGGTAATATAGTAAGTAGAGACAAACTACTTTATACTAAAGTAGTGACACCTTAAGTAAGTAGACGATGTAAGCAACTCATCAAGAGGTTGAAAATACTTTGACAAAGCGAAAAGGACGAAGCTATAACCGTACACGGGGAAACAATAACGACTACAATTATGCTATATGACATGGCTAAAATTAAATGAAAAGCAGACCTCAAACTGCTCCAATTCTAGATTCAGTGTATCGTCCTGAAAGCTCTCCAGATGGTTGACACCAAAACGTTCGATAGGCCGAAGGAGAGACTCAAATTCAGCCAGTTCGCGTTCGACCATGGCCTCTGGAGTAAGTGCATCTGAGACGACGAATTCGTTAGAATCTGCAGCGTTAGCCTCCTGCTGCCGTTTCTTAGCAAAACGAGCCAGCGGATCGGAAGTAGAACCCTCAATGGAGAGAGCCGCGTCATCAGTGCCTGATGCCTTCACATCTCCGTCTCCAGACGTCGCACCTTCGATAGGTTTGGATTCGTCAAACTCCTCCAAATCAGCCTAAATCGAATAAAAGGGCGGTGTTAGAGGTAAGATTTGAACGCTGTGGAGATAAAGTCAGCGATCAATAGAGCACCTTGACTTCATCAAGAGCGCGCTTAGCAGCCGCACGATCATTTTCATCGTCTTCACAGGCGTCCAGTGCGGCGACCCACTGAGAATCCGTGATGGCAGCTTGGTTGGAGTCTGATGCAGCTGTGGAGGACTGCAGTTTGGCGTTGAGAAGAATTGAAGTGGCTCCCTTCCACCGAATTTGACGCCCACTGCGAGTGACCAGGAGAGGGGGTGAGGGAGGAGACTGAGCCCCACTTTTCTCCATAATCTTTGCTTCAACATCGGCTGTCTTATTTGCCTTTGCTGCTTCCCTCTCTTCCTTGTCTTGGAGTAAATCCTGACAAATCAATTTGCACATCAAAAAAACTGCAGCTCAAATTATCCCCCCAATTAAGGTTATAGCATATACTAGTAGCAAAAAAGGATAGTCATTCAAAGAAGCAATGTATACCATAAGGCCGGAAGGCTCAGCAAAAAGATCAGAGATGATGCTTTGTTTGAAGAATGCCGTAGTAAATTTGCCCCCCTCGATGGCCACATCGCTTAAAAGACGCTTTTGGTTGGCTTTACGAAGAATATTTTCCTCTACAGTGCGCTCACTAATGAGACGATAGATGTGCACATCACGCGTCTGACCAATTCTGTGACATCTGCAATGGAAAAATTGCGAGAAAAGAGTAAACCAACACGGCGGAGAATGAAAAGAGGAATAGGCAGCTGATCATAAGGCTAAACTAGGTAGCAATGGCTACATTAATGAGATATGGGATAAGGAGCAAAGGAGGAAAGGTGATTTTAAGGAGTTAAATAAAGTATGATGTCTCAAAACTTGATTCCGTTTTAAAAAACCGGTGGTAATGGCTGAGGGGAGATGTTTAATAATAATAATAGTAAAAATTAGGATTTGGAACGACAACTTCGATGCCTGGTGAAAAGGCGTCTAAAAACATTACGGTTACAGTAAGTGAAAATGAAGAAGCATGCTAGGAAAAAGAAGTAAGCAACAGCGTCATAAAAAATCGCAGAATAAATAAGACAACAAAGACCAATAACACATAGGCTACAAATGCCTTGATGGCTAACCGTCAACAGTCAGAATGCGCAAAAGTTAGCTACTTATCGCACGCAATGCATCACAGGAAGTCATATAACAGCTACTATTGAAAAGCAAGTGCAGTAAAGGATGCTATTAAACAATAGTAGGCAAAAGAGACGTAAGACCAAAAAAACTTATTATGGGAAAATAAAATACATCTATCAGAAATGGAAACCGACTCGAGAAATGTACTTCATTTACCAAAATGAATATGCTTCTAAAATCGTCAAAATCGGAATTACTGAGACAGATAGATTTCATAAAAATGAAGGAAATAGAAGCACAAATAGCACAGACTTTCAGATGGAAATCAGAGGACTCAATCACACCACGTTACTACAAGAGCAAATCTTGACAGGATGAAAAATGATCGAATTTAACTGATTTTGATAACGCACCTGTCCTGAGCTTGCGCATCCATCGTAGGGTTCCAATCTGAATCGTAAAAGATGACAGTATCCGCACCGGTCAAATTAACACCGAGACCACCAGATCGAGTGGAAAGAATGAAGACAAATATGCGCGAATCCATGTTAAAGCGTTCCATGAGGATTTGACGCTGTTCAACTTTCGTTGCACCGTCCAGCCGCAAGTACCGGTAACCATGGTAAGCCAGGAACTGCTCCAAAATGTCTAACATGCGCGCCATTTGTGTGAATATCAGTACTCGATGCTCATCTGCATAGAGCTCCCGCAGTAACAAATCCAGACGCTGTAGTTTTCCTGAGGGAAGTAGATGAAATCTGTCACCACTCGACATGAGCGAGGATTTAAAAAGTTGCATAGAAGTAGAGAAACTTACCGCAGTCGTATTGAATAAGTCTTGGGTCTGGAAACTGGAACAAATGGCTGTTACACACTCGATGCAGCTGAGCAGGCATCAACCAAGAGCGAAAAGTGAGGCTGTTGCAGGCACAGTGTAATTTGACCAATGTGGAGCTCCTTCTTTGGACAGAACAGTGCTTGAATACTCTCGCCGCCTCGAGGAAAGGTTGTAAGATGTCTTCAACCACCTTCTCTTGCTGCATTTCGGTGCGGTGAACATCCGCACACGAGGTGTGAAGACGAACACCTGATGAGATCGCTGATGGAGTAGTGATAAGAAACCTTGACAAGGAAAATACTTACTGAAGAATATTTAAGCTACCGATAGACCAAAGTTTCTAAAGTGTAGTAGCCTACTTTTCGAAATAAGTAGAGAAGTATTCCAGACAATCAGCCGAACTGAAGAGTAACTGTCGGAGGGCTTGGGGATACCCCATACGAACAGGGAAAGCAGCTTCAGGACCGTAGAACGCCTGCAAGCGTTCTAATTCAGATACCTGTAAACCAGAAGAGCCAAGACCACTGACAACGCAAGTAGGATGACGGAGATAGGTGGGAGGACCATCGGAATCATCGCAGGCTCGTTTATCGGGCCATGTTCGAAGAGCACTTTGACAGGCAATCCAAGCACCGGTGGCGAATCGATTGGGCGTCTTGACGGGCCGGCGGATGATGGCAGATGTAAGAAAGTAAACTAGGTCAGAAGTTGGCATAGAAGTGGTCTCAAAGGTGGGGATGTCGTACGGATTGGCACAGCGACGTTCGTTCACACGAGTCAGAAGGGAGAGACGGTGTTGTCGTTCGATGTGACGTGATCGAAGCACAGATTTAGGAATGCCCGCATCCCAAGGATTGGGACGACAATGGGCTAGGAACATAAAAAACCCCATTCAAATGCAAACAATAAATAGATAGCTGTTTTCGACTGAAAAGATGCAAATATTTAACAATTTGTAATGGCAGCAGATGAGTTGTGAATCACCTAGAATGTATGAAGCTCCCTTGAGAACGGGACGGGGAAGATTGGGATAGGGTGGCTTGACTCCAGCTAAAAGCAAAGCAAAAGTTCATTGAATGAAATGATCAACTCACCAAATGTGTATGATTCTAAGTACAACTGCCTACAAAGATGGTGTCCATCCGCTAATTTACCGATCTCTTCGTTTACTTCGAGCACAACGGAACGAGACAAAAAGATGGGAGGCTGACATCGTCGACCTGAGGAATCGTCCATATCCAGTCCTTTGCGTTTCTTCAGATCACTGAAAAATTCGCGCTGCCTCGAAACTAGTAAAAAGAACCATGAACATCTTCAGCACTAAAAAAGAAGATTCAGCACCGCAAGGTAAGGGTCGACCTACTCAAAAGATAGAAATGCACAATTTCCCCGCATGGGCTATGATAAGTCCGAATACTTGACAAATTATTCAGTCCCCTTCAGATTGTAGTGGTCTATTTATGCGGGCATGACGACTTGATGAAATAACAAATAAAAAAGGTAATCAAGGGCAAAAATTTTTACCTATAGAATCTTATGGGAATCCAACACTCAAGATAGAGGAATAACGAGATGCTTTCGAAAGAAAAACACGGAAAAAGATAAATCAAAGGGATTTTAGAACCTATAGCCTCAATTTTTCATAATATGAAAACCAACGGAAGTGACGCACAACGCACCGAAATCAATCGGATCCGAGGTCTCCACTATAGATATGAGACCAGGTTTAGCCTGTAGTTGGTGCACCCGACGCGCCACAAAAGCAGGCAAATCGCGAGCCATTTCGGCCAGAGTAGCCGTCTGGCCAAGAAGGCGGGCAGCTGAACCAGCACGGTCAAGCCAATCAAGACTCTGGGCCTGAGTCCACGCGGAGGGTGTGGTGGGATGAAAGGCCACGAGGAAGGGCTGTGAAGCCTGAGCCACGAGACGTGGCACCTCCAATCGCACCTCGTCATCGGCTACGCGGAAGGGTGAGGTGATGGGTCGTGGTTCAAAGAGATTTGGGTGGTTACAAACCTTGCGTAACTGCATCAGAATGTTCATGACTGAGAGGAATTGACCCGAAGCCAAAGTATCCTTCGTTCTACAGTGTTCAGATAAATTATAAAGCTCAAAACTGCCATGATTAAGCAATACCCTCCAAGTCCCCCAGAGATAGGAGGTACGAAGGAACATTCAATTAGTGCGTTTACCACAGTGAGCATTTGAAATGCGCACTGAAGTTTAAATACGTCTCTCACATAAACAAAGGCTCTTATGCAAGTGTAAATGGCGCAACACCATTGTGCAAAAAAAAACCAAAACGTCCAAAGTACTCGTGGAGAAATCGGACAGAAGTGTATGATAAAACGAGCAAGGTCACAACTAGATGGTCGACCCATGAAAGAAAAAAAATAACCAGCGAATAATATGAGCATGGGAAAAAATCAGAGCAATTCTTATAAAGTAAAGTGAATGGGTTGTTGCTGTAGCCTGATATGACAAATTGGAGACGTCAGACCTATGCGACTTAAAGTGCTACGAAGTGACCCTGTTGCATACTTAAGAGGTGAAGCGATTGATGACTTTATAAATTAAGCCACAAGCATCCAGGACAGTTGCAATTCCTAATGCGCAACTTCGAAGGAATCTATTGAAGGCGTGCTTGACGTATGTGTCAGCTTAAAAAACTAATTTTTAATCCGGTCAAGTTTACAAAAAATGAAAAACCATACTTCGAAAACTCACGTAGAGAGGGACATGAAATCATCGTAGAGGTAGCGTTGGCGTTTAGAAAGACGGCAGAGGATGACGTGTTCGTACTTCTTTGGCATCTGGCGCTCAACGTCCTCCTTCAACCGACGCAAAAGAAAGGGTCGAAGGACCTTGTGCAACCGCATCACAAGTTGCTCATTGTACTCGCTATTTCCTTCGATCATGCCTAAAATGTTACTGCTTGATTGAGATGCATGGGCTTATTCAGTATGCGAAATCAAAGAGCACCATCGACGAACCTGTGAGAGGGGATGCAAACCATTCCTGAAATTCTCTATGAGACTGAAAGATATTCGGCATAAGGAAGTGCATGAGAGACCAAAGCTCCATAAGAGAATTCTGAAGAGGAGTTCCGGTCAAGAGGAGCCGTCGCTGACTATTAAAAGTAAGTAACGTCTGCCACCGTTGAGACTTAAAGTTCTTGATGTTCTGAGCCTCATCAAGAATCAGGTACTTCCACTTCTTTCGCTTAAAGGCTGAACTGTCCTGAATTGCTAGGCGATATGAGGTGATGCAAACATGGAATGCATTAGTCTTCGTCCATCCCTGCCAAACGGAAATGGTATTAATACAGGTACAAAGAGACTGTGCATCTTTTGTACCTTAAAGCATCCTAGTAAACCAACTACACCTGAAGCGTGTGTATGCATGCCTTATGTGGACATTCAGATGTGAAGACCTCAATACTATTGGAAGTGGGTAGAAAACCTATGGCATTATAATCTTGAGGCACGCTGTCCATTTAAAGCAGTAAAAGAGGGTAAGGAACAAACCTTTCGCTTGGCTTTACGCTCCTTGGCAGAACCAAAGTATGTGAGAATTTTGAAACCGGGACACCACTTCTTGAATTCCACCTCCCAATTGAGGATGACAGAATTGGGCACAACAATGAGATGCGGTCCCCAGATGCCCAATTCACAGGCTAAGTAAGCAAGTAAGGCAATGGTCTGAATAGTCTTTCCCAGACCCATCTCGTCCGCGAGAATACCGTTGAGGCGCTTTTGGTAAATGGCTACTAGCCAACTCAGCCCCACCACCTGATATTCCCGAAGTGACCCTGCTAACAGGAACGGCGTCTTCACTGGCTCTGCCACTGAGGCTAGTGTGTTGCCTTGGGGCTGTGCACTCATGGCAACGTCGGCAATCGCCTTTAGCTCCGGATTCTGATAAGTAAAAAGGATTGAGAAAATCAATGCTAGTCTTGTGATTGTACTGAATTCTTCCGCTTGGAAGCATTCGTACCAAGAACGATCAAAGGGACCCAGTTCTATACGGTTGCCCTCACACAGAAACTTTTGATTTTAGCATGCATTTGTTATTGTCAGGATTAACAAAGATGCTACAAAGTTGCATTGCGAACATTTAGAGATGAGTTCAAGAGTCATAAAACCAAAGTTTTTCAGCCCTATAGCCCTCGCCACTGCCCACGATATACAAGTGGAATGATTGATAGGGATGAGACCAAATTCTGTGACTTAATGGCTTCGCAATAAGCACATGAACCAAGATGTAAGGGGATTAAGACTCTAAACCTCACATCAGGCATGGATGGGTCGTCCTTCAGATTCTCCTTCTCATCGTCCGAAAGTAATTGCTTCAGTCCAAGCTCCTCTACAGTTTCCCCATCGTCCCCATCGGTTTCAAAGGTTGACGATGCGTCGAGTGAGGATTCGTCACCAGAGGTTTCGCAATTTGAACCATTATCAGTGTCTGATCTGGTGTTTGAAGTGGATGAGGATGTTGACTCCAAATTATTCTTCTTGTCCTTCCATTGAGTTAACTGGTCGGGCCTGAGTCCATATCGAGCCAACAGCTCTTCTATCGACATATCGGCTTCGGCCTCAAGCTGAGACACTTCTTTCGACATCCCTGGCGATGGTCCGTCATCATCATCTTCTCCGTAATCATCATCCTTGATTTCGTCGTAGTTGTTTTTGAAGTCGTTTTTAGTCTTCTCATATGCTGCTTTTTCCGTTAATGTCCCATCGTCGATGAAGCTCACCGCCGCTGTGTTAAAACGACTGTCCAGGTGACACCTCTTTCTTCGCGGGAAAGCATCACCCTTCTTCCAATATAAGGAATAGCTATTATTGTACTCCAACTCGCTTACTTACACAATGATTCAGGTGTGAACTACTCACCGATGAAACTTTATCAGCTCCCTGATTTGTTGCCGTACCTCCAGCTTCAGTAAGCCGTCGAAGATGTTCAATATATCCAGGTGGAAGAAGGTCATCGATTAAGACCTCAGCTTCGGCACACAGCGCAGCCACTTCCGAAGATCCATCCTCCTTCGAGCCTGCGTCTCGACGAGCCATTTCCTCCTCCTCGGCAATGGTCTCTTCATCATCAGTGGATTCTTCTTCTTCAGCCTGCCAATTTGGTTACACAATCTTAAAAATGAAATCCACTGCTGCGAACAGAACCTATCTAATGAACACAAAAAGACTTGCAAATAAAAGTAATCACACTATGGAAACCTAAAGCCAGCACTAAATTCATTCGGTAACAGTAGTCACCAATATCGTGCTCAAATTCCAAGAACAAAGATTTTGACAATAACTGGTAACTAAGCCTCATTAAATCATTAATTTAACAAACGCAAGTAAGCAGTTTAGTGCTGACTTGATTTCACCAAGAGCGCTTACAATTGGAACCAAAACACGTACCACGAAATCAGCGTCAGATTCTTTGGGGGATTCAGCGTTTTCAGTCTTTTCATCCTTACCAGTTTCCCTATCAGAGGCCTCCTGATCAATAGTAGGTTGCTGCTTGACCCCAACCATACCCTCTGTGAGCCACATTGTATACCTTTCAGTAGTTTCTATCACATGACCCAGGTGAGTCGACATGGCCTGCTGATGGCGTGCAGTTAGACGAGCTTTCTGTTTAGTTTGCACAATCTACATAGGGAACGAGATGGGACGTCAAGCAAAGATGCAGAAGCACCTTCCAGCTGAGCGTGAACTACTCACCTTGTCCATCTGCCGCCACCAATCCCGCACCATTCGGGCGATCAAACCACACTGTTTTCGTATGCGAGCAGCCTCTTCCCGTTCAGCCTTGAGCGACCGCTCCGCTTTTTCTTTATAGACCTTGAGTGCTGCATAAGCGAGCTGGAACGACAAAACCATTGAGGTGGTGGAAGAGTGTAAAGTAGCAACGAAAATGGATTTACCTTCTTGGCAGTAACTTTCTTCCAGTGTCGCTCCTTTTTGAAATCCTCAGCAAGCCATCGCATCTCGGCAAACATGTAGTCTAGATGGTCCTTTGGACGAGTTAGTTCTGGTGGTGGAGCCAATGATGAAAGTGAGGGCTTTGTATCAGAATAACGCTGCTTATCGTCACCAGAAAATGAGGCCGAGTCCCGTGACCACAAACCTAATCGTTTAAACTCGAGTACTCGTTTGAGAGTCTCCACCTCCTTCCGCACAAGAAAGGGTATCGCTGACTCATCCACGATCCTCTGTAGAAAAAAAATCGTTAAATGACCTAGTAAACAATTTTGCAGAGATTAAAACGCTCACGAAGGGGCAATATACCTCAAAATCCTCATCAGAGTCATCGTCCACGTCATCAGCTTGTGAGCTGTCTATATGAACTGGGAACATTTCATGCATTGGCAAATGACCAGACATAAAAGCACTGATAGCGTTAAGATCATCGCCGTCAAGATGACCGGAAAAAAGAGCATGCATGAGATCCTGCGGACGATCACGTCGCCAGAGCTCAAATTCAGTAAGTAATCCCCCACCCTGAAGATAGGTGAGTTCCGCAAGGAACTCATGGTAGTGTATTTTAACACGAGCAAGCCTCTGCTTTAGAAAGGCAGCTACTTTACTCCTTGAATCTTCAAAAGTCAGGGCGGAGGATCGAGAAGTCTGACCCATTTCAGATGACGGAGCAGAATGGACATTTGCTGACATTTCATTGAGCCTCTACTATCCCTGCAAAAAGCAAACTGTATTTCAAACGGAAGGATAATATGGAGAACAAAAAGCCACCATACGGGTAAATATAAAGGACGAACAGAACCAAAATGGAATGGAGAGTTGAAACAGCAAGAAGACTCTGGAGGAAAAAGAGTGGCCTATGGCAAAGCAGACAGCACGATTGCGATCTTCACTCCTAATTCCTGTCTTGACTATGCAAAAATAGAATGTAAATAGGCTATTTAATGTACACGAGAGTAATTTCCTTACCTGCACATCACTCGAACATATCAGCAAAAAGAGAGCATTATTATTAGGGAAAAATAGCAGGAATGAATCAATTAAACAAAACCTAAAAATTTTGTACCGCACATACAGAGTAATTTGCAATTTAACAAGCATTTTCGCAATAATGACTTGCCCAGCGAATAAATGGGAACATATGAGCCTTAGAGCAAACGGACTCACTAAAACAAAAACGTCATTTAGCAAATGACAATAGCATTTAGCAATTTTTTAGTTAGCTTAGGCGTTTTCTCTCTTTATTGAATTACATTACTTCGGCTATATGGACACCTAGTGTTTGGCAACTTTTTTTAAGATTCGTCTGGTCCTTTTACTCGTGGATTGGCCTTCGGTCCAAGCTCAGGCTTTGTTCCTTTTTCTCCTCGGAATGCACGTATTCAGCTCCGATTTAGGTTTTCTTATAACAGTGGGAAGTCTCGGAACTCTGCGCAGGTGGTCACGTAAGCAAAGTATTGCATAAATACTCTAGATTTAAACTCACAAAAATTGCTAATTATACAAGATCACATTCTGCAAGATACTAGTATTTCTCAAGGAGGTAAGTCTTAAAAACAAATCGACTTCCTTCTTAATGCTATAGCATCCCAAATTTATTTACTAGACATGAACAGGTATCACGTAGGTCCGACATGTGCGTTCCAAAGAGGTGGGGAGAAATTGGGCTTTGACCCACGCGAATAAGAGTAAGGTGAGTGCTGAAGTAACCGCCAGACATGCAAATGCTCACATAAGTAAAGTATTACAGACGTTGCCCCAGGTTTCCCTTCGTAAATCCAGAGACTTCCATTACGTAGACGATGACGCTAAGCTGTAAAGGGAAGGAAGATGCTAAGCTTTGGCTTGGCCCAAATATTTGTTCAAGCAACATAGAGCATGACTGTCAGCGAGATGACCGCCGGTCATATAGTTATTCGAACAAACACAGTAGTGCACCCTCATATTTAAGTGAAGTAAAGATGTCCCTTTCTGGGGACCCAGTCATATTAGTGCTTGCTGAAGTCATGCGTTGGATGGGTTACACCACACCTGCTACGCCATAAGCATAATTAAAAGCTTCGGGTGTAACATCCTGGAACTTCCCATTATGTAGGAGCCATCGATTGGGGTTAACTACGGAGAGGAGGGTGGAGAGTTTAGACTTTAGCTTGTTCCAAAGGTTAGCTCAAGTGCACAGGGATAAGATAATTATCAAAAGAGACCTTCGTTCATGCAGGTGGTCAATAAAAAAGATAATGCATCCCCTCGCATTTATGCGTAAAAATAAGCAGAATAATGAGCTACTATGCGGTTTCTTCCCTCAAATACTCCACTCGACCAGCTTGAGGTGTCGATCATCAGAGGATGGTGACTAGCCTCATTGCTGGCGATTTCGGCATCCTCAGTACTTCAAGTCCAAATGTGAGAAGGCATTTGATTCAAATTTTTTTGGCGCTTCCCGGCGGATCAGCCTTATCCTAGCTATCATTCTATTCGTGAGTAGTTATTGGAAGGAAAGGAATAAAGTGACTTCATACCTTTTAAAGCGACTTGAATTACGCTTGTCGTAAACACAAGATCGTGGAATATAACCTTTTACAAAGGGTAAGGTTTGAGGCCACTAATGTTTGCATTTGCTCCATCCTATTATTTTATACTTCTCCCAATATTTCCCATCCATTTTACATACGAATATCGTTCCGATAACTGTAAAAGTGTTTTCAAATCATTTCATATGCAGCGGAACTTCGATTGTTGATGAAGGACCTTCAGACCACTTTGGCTAGCAACACAAAGAGTTCAGTTTCAGTTATTCCCACATGACACTTTACAAAACTACTCACCACCGGCAGATGTCATTCTTCTGTGGCTTTTGGTCACAGCAATTAAGCATTAAGATAAGTCAATGTTTTTTGGCGCATTGGGATTGACAGTGTGGTAGCCTGTCTGATGAAAAAGTAGAGGACTGAAGCACAGAAGGACAGAGAAACCACTGGCATAGTCCGAAAGTCTCTCCGCAGAGCAAAGGCTCAACATGTAGAGACTTTCTTGCCCGCCTAATAGGCATGATTGAACATCAAATGTTATTATGTTATATGTAACCATAATATACGATATCAGTTATATTCAGTCCCAATTGTGGTTATAGGGGGATCGATGAATTTCCTTGTCAAAGTACCGTCATGTAACGGCACATATGAGTGCTCCTTTTAGTAGCAGACCTCACCCACATGTTCTGCGGTGCAATTTCCGGCTAAGCGTTATGCCTTATTTTGTCTCCATAGAAATATATAAAAGCTACAATCGTTACGCTTGAATGCGTCAGACGCTTATATTGTTCCACTTTTTAACTTCAAATTATCCAAAAGTGGGAAAAAACACATAGATTGTTCCTTTGTGATCAGTTCAATAAAATTTAATAACCAGTCTTAATTTCAAATGAGACTTAACGCTTGTCGCAATCAAAATTTCAGCCCGTAATATTTTGCATGCAAAACACTGGAATCAAGCAGCGGTTAATTACCAACCTCATTCACCGAGCCCTTGTTGAAATTAGATGTAAAATTTAGCAAAGAATAGCCTTTTGTTATTCATTATTTATTAAAATCCCATTCAAAATTGTTATAAACAGGCGTTTCGTTCTTAAAACCGCACCAATCGTTTTGTGAGGCAAGTTAGTTCAAAGGGAAAATTTAACTGCACTTCCATTTCATGTGTAACGTTAATATAAGTGGCAAAAGCTAAAGGAAAGATTCCGTTGGCAGGAAACCAAGCATCAAAATATTTTAAAGCAGTGATACGCAGGCGATGGGAAGGTTAGAGGAACAAAGAACGCACCCCAGGGTCAATGCCGATTTGCTGGAGTTCAGTTCAAATCCTCTCAGGGCGGCTAAGAGGCACGTTACCAAAACCAAGAGTTAAGTAATTTGAATGGCCATCAAGATAATAGCATCGAACCTTCAAGTTAACAAGGGTGTTTTCATTATTCCAGTAGCCTTAAAAACGTCAACTTTAAAAAATATGATCACAAATTTCGGCAATCGGTTAAAATAATCTAAAGGAAGACGCTCAGACTGCTAACTCCTACACTTTCGAGGAGACTTAGTGCCTTGCCTGGACTCCTAACAGTGTGCACTGATAAAGGTGCCCAGGAAGTTTTTGTTTCAGTTATTAGAAATTAAATTATTTGTAACTAAGACTTTTAGTAAATGATTTTCAAAACCATCCTTTTTTATACTAACCATGTGCCATACTTCCTTTCCTTTGGTCAAAATTGAATGTAGTAGGAAGTTGTAGAGACTGTTATTTGTAGTTCAGTAAGCTTCTGTACATCGATTTAAGTCAAAGTCCAGTCAACCAAACGCCTCACGGCTTCAGATGAAGTGGCTTAGGGATAGTAGGTGAAGTCCAAATTGTTTTATGTTTGAAAAATAACAAGAAGAGTCAGGGTTGGAGGAATGAATAGGGGAAGGAACTAGTTCATACAAATTCACCTTTAAGGGTGATCCAATCTTTACATTTTTCTTCTCTTAAGCACATGCGTCCCACTTTGCTGTAATGGAACAGTTCTCGCACACATTCCATCGCAGTAGTTTTTGGCAAGCGTGGATAGGATTCGCGGTTTCTCTAACGCCCACATGTGTTTGCTTTTTCTTCTCTTTCACTTGCATTCTTTCGATGCCTTCGTTATCCTCTTCACCTCTACCTTTCCAGAAATGCATACTTGCATACCTTTACAACCTCACGAAGGCAAAGGGGAGAAGTCAAAGTCATGTGACGTGTGCTGAGGACATTGCTGCGAGAAATAACACTGCCCAATTAAACAAGAACCTAATATTACCAATTTCAGGGTAAAGTCACTCTAGTTGTAAAAAATACTTCAAATGGAGCAATAAATGAGGTTCTGTTGGGCTCACCGTAACGGTTTGGAGCACTTTCATCCATGACTGCAGCCTACTTTGAGTAGTTGGTGGGATTAAGGAGACCGTTCTTTCTTACTAGTTAACTACTTTATCCCGTAGACCATGGACGATTTGGGCGTTTGCATTTCAGAGGTGTAACTTATGTGAACTATATCCATCACGTCAAAAGGGAGGCTACAATCAGGACTGATCTGGGCTGCTTTGAAAATCCTTCGACGAGGAACGCAACTTTCTCTCTGTGCTATTAATTCAAACACAAACAAATTTAGGTAAAACTAAAAACTACATACGATAAGGAAAAACAAAAGCAATGTCTGAGACACTTGATTCATGGATGAGGTTTATGTTGTGGTGATGAAAGATGCTTGAAATATCCTACCTCATCCTCTTTAGCTTTAGAGAGAACCTGAGTCCTTCACACGATGGACAGATAGAGTTGCCAAAAGTGAAATTTGGGAGTCTTATAGCTTATGATTGGAAGATTTTAAAATGAGTTTGAATACTAGCTAAGAGATGCCGAACTGCACATCATCAATGCCATGACCTAGGAAAGCATAGCTTTACCTTCGAATAATAAGCCGTGCTTCGGGGACCCAACTATCCAAAAAGGCTTTAACTTTGACTCGCTAGAAAGTTCTTCAAAAACTACCACCGAGGCCTAGATTAAGTCAGTCGGTTTAAATAGTGCTTCTGTTTATTGTAAAGCGCCTTCACATTTGTTTGCAAGTGCATAATTGACCCCACTGTGAGGACAAATTTAGCACATTTGTAACCTTTGGTTTGTTGACTAAAATTGTAGAC